TCATGCAGAGGGAACCTCTTTTAAGAAAAAAATAATAAGACAGATAATGAACGGCCGTCGGAAGTGTCTACTTACGGGACCTATTTTGGTTAAACAGATTTTCCTCAGGGCGTTTAATATGAGCTTGAGAAATAATGTTTGTCAAGCCCTCGCCCTCCGGAAAGATTCATTTATCTAGAAGTGAGATCCACTGCTCTATCCAGTAGTTGTTTTGAAGAAACTGTTTCGTTGGCGTGCCCGGAAACGGCGGAGGTCTGGGTACGGGCTAAACGTATATCCCTCTCTTGTTCTTTCATCCTCTCTTCCATAGGTCTTCCCGTTTCACCAATGTAGATTTTGCCGCATTCACAGGGAATCCTTTAAACCACGCTGTCCTGTCTACCTGGATTGACAGTGTCCTTTGGTCGTACTAAATGCGATCCAAATGTCGTGTCGGACTTGAACACTGCGCGGATGCCTCAAGTTGTTGTTGTGGGCAATAGCAGGAGCGTGATGGGCTCCTGGCAATGGCGAATATCCCTTTATAACCATTTTCACTTAACTCAATTAATTTTTTGGTCATTTTTAGCTAAAAACGTGTTTTGTTTACCGCTCCTTCGCTCACAACGCACCAGCCAAACAACTTGAAGTCCATCACGTACTATGACATCGTCTTCATCGTTCGTTGCGCGTCAGTAGGCACATAAAGCCGTCACATTGTCCGCCCAACTCCATCCCCCCTGTCGCGTGCCGCCTTGGCCACATTCCAGCTCTTCCACCCCGCTTTGCCTCTCTTTTGACAGTCCTTCTCCAAGTGGTCTTTGGTCTCTGGTGTCCACCCCAATGCCTTAAAACAGTCGTTCACACCCTCTTTCCTGAGTACGTGTCCTAACTAGTTCCACTTTCTTCTTCGCACCTCGCAGCTAATTTCATTGATCTCTGTCATTTCAGCTACTATTTGTCATTTTTTGCTGCATTCTATTCCTCAGTATCCGTCTTAGGCACTGACATTGGAAACTATTCAGTTTTCTTTCATCGGTCTTTTTGATGATCATCAGTCGGACTAAAGTCTTGAATACGCGTATCTTACTTCTCCTTCCGATTCCTCTGGCTGCTCACATTCTGTTCCTAATATCTTTACTGCCTCCACCTTCCTTGTCCACAATAGCTCTAACAGTACGCAAACTCTTCGACATCTTCCACTTCCTCACCATTCACCCCAATGCCCTCCCTGTTCCCAGCAAACTCAGTTCTCAGTGTCTTGCACTTTCTCGCATTAAATTTAAGGCCTTCTCTGGCTGCTTCCTTCGTCAATCCCCCAGTCTTCTAACGCAAGTCATTAGATGAAAGTCGTGCCATGTCGTCCGCAAATTCAAGATCCTCCAACACTGTTGTTAAATTCCACCGTATCCCTCCTCTCTTCTCTGCTGTTGTCTTCCTCATGATCCAATCCATGGCCCGTTAGAATAATAATCCTGACATTACACAGCCCTACTTTACTCCCGACTTAATCTTGAACCAGTCTGATATCTCGCATCTGTCGATTACTGCGCATTCAAACTGCTCGTATATCTCTACTATCACTCTCACCGTGTATAGAGGGTCTCAATGGGGTGATGGCTTTTACGGCTATCGGTTAAAATTCTGGCCAATTTTCGGCTAACGGTTAACACCTTTCCATTGTTTCCACCAGAGATATTTTTTACGGTTAACTTTTTTTACGACTAACGGTTAAAATTTGTCAATTTTTACGTCTAACTGCTAAATATTTTGGCCGTTTTACGGCTAACGGTTAACCCCATTGGGACCCTCTGTATAGACTCGTCCTCCATTGGTTGCCTGCTCTAAGATGTTTCCTAATATAAACATCTGTAACCTGCTCTTCTCAAAGCTTCTTGTCTACACGTTCCTTGATCCGTTTTAGCAGCATCTTGCAGAATATTTTACTGATGATGGGTAGCAAAATTCACTCCTCTCTAGTTGTTGCAGCCACGCAAATCATCTTCCTTGAATATCGTGACATTAGTCTCTTCTTCCACACCTCCGGCCACCTTTCAGTTTCCCAAAGCCTATACTTGAGGTGTATTCCATGTCAGCTCTCAGTAGGTCTGAGCCCACTTCATCTACTCCAACCGCTTTCCCTGGCTTTGTCTTCCTCAATGCTTCCTTAACTTCCTGTATTTGCCATCTTCCTACACCCATTTCCTCGATCTCCTCCAGTTCTTCTATTTCATCTTCTTCCACTGGATTTGTTGGGTCGTCTCTATTTAGAGTGCCTGTGACACGAAATTTTTTTTTTTTGCATTCTCTGGTCGATAGCTCTATTTAAAATAAAGTGCAAGCCCTCTCCTTAGCTGACCGATATTCTTGAACATTGCGAAACCTCTGGCGGGTACTTGCATAAACACAAGCTCCAAGGGGCTGCGTATTCTCCTAACCTAGGTTTCCGATAATCCATCCCACGAGCCATCAGTTCCCCCCTGATCTCAAGAAATTAAGAGTAGCCACAGTAGCAGTGTCATTCTGATAACAGTAATGCAACGAAGCAAATAAAGAAACACAAATTTTATTAAATTAGGTGGTAGCGAATCCAAGGGCTCTCAGCCCATGAGTAAAATCGGTGCATACGAAATATTAATTTACAATACTGATGTCAGTTATTTGCCATTGAGTGAAATGGGTCATACGGCAATGCTGCACTTAAAACTAAAGAAGTTTTTCTCAATTAAAATTCCTATTTGAGATTAACTTGATGACCATAAACTCACTCGTTTTCTGTTTGACCGGCGCGACGACGATAACCTCTGCCTTTGAAATTTTTTGAGAAAACGAGCAACTTGCAGTGAAACTACTCGATGACTTCTCAGCGAAAAATCATCGTGCCTCGTGATACGGCTGATTCTTTCGTCAAAAGTTAGCTTTTGGTTTGCAAACGAAATTACTCTACAGCAACGAAACTCTACAGAGCACTGACCAAGGGGAACCTTAGCCTCACTTGCTTCGAAGGAATAAAATATTATGGCAACAGAAACGAACAACCATTCTTATCATAGATTTCGTCACAGAAAACAAAACACAAACGCAACAAACTAAACATTCAAACTGAACTCTGCAGGTGAGAAACCGTCTCTGTCAGTCTTCGTGGAAATCTTCGTTTAATGCACCGAGGGTTAAGCCGTACTCGCAACTTCTATTTCTCCTTTACTACTTAAGTACGATGTATCCCAACCCTCTGCAAGCTCGCCCCATGAAGTGTTGCGCGTTCTCCCCCCACCTTCACCAGTTCATCCTCAAATCGTTCAACTCGTTTCTAAAATACGAAAGAATCTCAGTTAGGCCTTCCATTGATGGAAGTGCTCTAAAGACCAGGTTAAAAGGCCGTTTAAGTCCACACAAACTGTCAAAGTATTTTATTCGAAGTGCGTGTCTTGATTTCCCTGATCTCAACATAACTCTGCGCGCTTGGCTTTGATAAGGGAAATAGGGCGAGACAAGTACGCAAAGTTTCAACAGTAACTAAGGCCCCTGAAAGCCCACTAGGTCGGTACATTTTATTTCCAATTACACCACCTACTTTACTGGATCGGGTGAAGTTGCTTAAAGTGACGACCAAATGGGTGTTTGGGTTAAGAAACCTCGAGCTTGTTTAAATATTTTCCTATTAGCCGTTCTTGCTTGTGCCAGGTCTCATTATGGTTCGAGATGAACGAAATGTGTTGAGCAATGATCCGTTGACGGCCCCTGACGGCCCCTGACGGCCCCTGACGGCCCCTGACCTCACTGGACAGATGGTCCGGGTGAATAATTATTCTCCACACCACATGATCCAAAAAAATTGTAAAAATTTCAGATAGAGGTTCAAAGCAAGTGGTTTTCTTTAAAGATGTTTTCTATTTTAATATGGTGTCTTCTCTTAATGCAATTAAAAAAGCAGCAGAATTTTATGATCTTAGTTGATTCTAAGATTCTTATTCTACTCCTAGCAGCCATATCCTCTTCCTCTATTTCCTCTCAGGAAATTTTCCTAAAAACAGGTTAATGATTGTTGGGTAAGGCTTTCGACAGGAAGGTACTTGATGTTCAGTTGCCCACTTCCCTTGAGAGAAACCTCTGTGAAATTTCAAATGAGCTGTTGTCCGTGGCTTTCCAAATTTTTCTTATTTTCTTCACTTGAAGCCTCATCAGTTTGTTATCTTTAATAGGAATTGACGAAGAGCTCAGTTAGTAAAATTATCGCTTAACGGTTTGCGTACCGTATTTCTTAAAAAGGAGTTCAAATTATGTTTTTTTGTGGGGTTTGGTGTACTAATTTGCCTACCAAGGTGAATGGTAATTGGTTAGAGGTGACCTTGTCTGAAAGGCTAATCAAATGACAGTATTTTCACCTGCAGTCCTACAAAGTGTGAAATGTCCTACTGCATGGCGCCTGCGGGTCTGCTCGAACTAACAAGGTAAGACACCAAGGTGACAAGTCTTTAGAAGAATTCATTACGGATTCCTATTTTCTCTGTGTTCCCAATTCTTTCTCTCGTTTCATCATCAGTAGGCCATATAGAAACCAGAAACACAGTAGTGATTACTTCTAAACCCAAAGTTGTGTCTCTCGTTCGAACCAACGGCCACTCTCATTCTAACAACCAGCGTGAAATACGACGACGTCGGACATAGATGTCTAGAAATACCTGAGTGAGACGCTTAAATCATTTTGACATTAGTTATCATGTGTGATGCATCGCAGGAATAGAAATTTCATGTATTTGATGGCGCACTGTTGGCTTGGTATCACGTTTAGACGCAAAGTAATTTACATGCACTTAGAGTAGATAACATTACAAGTCCCGCAAAACGACAGAGATTTATAACCTAATCCGTAAATCCACCAATGGCGTGCGGTTTCCCTAAGGATTTCAAGCCAAACAACCTCACTCCAAAAAGGTGCCGCGTAATTAATCAAACTTGACAGCTTTCATTAATTATCGCCAACGATAGGCGACAATCTGATTAAATATCTACGCCAAAGACCCGCCATGACAGTAGAATTTCTTGAGGTGCTGCCTTGTTGCGGTAGATTGCTTTGTTAGTTTCATTACTTTTTTCATATCTAATAACAAGAGAGAATCTTCTATTCAAACGCCTTGTGTTGTAGTGATGAGCACTCGCAAATTAAAATGTTGATGTAGTGTGACTGGAATGGTGATTTAGCATCGAATGGATCAACGGAACGCCAAACTCGGATGACGCACTTGAAGTAACGCTCAAAATAAAGTAAGTACACCGATTTTCTATTTCCCAAGTTCTTGAAATTGACGAGTGAATGCACATTGCACTTCTTATCTGTTGAAGACACCTCGAAATTAGGTGTTACTGTGGGGGTCGTCGATTTCCGGTAACACATTTCCTCGTGGTACGTTTTACGGGAAATGAAAACATCATTATAAGGCACTTCATTTATCTATGGATACTTTCCATAAGAAAAAAACATTTTCCAGTATAATTGTCATGCTTTTTTTACCACATGTAAGTTGCCCTCGCCGCCTTCTACCAAACTATTTGGACTGAACAGTTTAATTTTGATTTGATTCTCCACCTTAAATATGGGGAATCTACGAAGGGTGATTTTTGCACAAATGTTAAATGTTTACTCGTTTTTGCTTGTTATCGTTTCTTGAAGGTTCTATTTTTTGTTTAACTCTGGTATTCGAAAATTTACAGTGGTGACTATTAATCAACCGCACTCGGAATTGTGGTTCTGGTCTATAGAGTTATAGAGCACAGTAGTTCTTCAGTGTTAATTACGTTGGAAAGTAGGGTGTAAAAAACCTTTAATACGCAAACTAACAAAGAAATAGTGGGCTCTTCTCTGATTCAAGAGGGCGAGTATTGAACTTCACTTTGAACTGATTATTTTGTAACAAACGTAACCAGTGTCGATTGACTTCGCAATACAAGAGGTCGAGTTCAGCCACAACCCTAGTGTATATGTGTCGCTTGAAAATGAAAATTTTGAAGCCCTTTAGCTGTCCTGAAATGCAAATTATTCATTATTCCACGATGTTTTATATCTTAAAATGTAGGGGATGTTTCTAACGAGAAGGGTAACCATTAGGGCCCAGATTCAAAGAGGAATTTGAGGAGAAAGCAGGCAATTTAGAAATGACAAACTCAAGTTAATTGGAAACATAAAAAGAGTTGTAAATCACTGCAAACTTTTACCTTTAGTTTATGTGGACATTGTTAAAAAGCCAAAACGAACAATGAGCACAAAACACTCCTTTTCTCTCCTTGGTTAACTTAAGTGTCATACTCTCATCCTAGATACGATTCAAATGTAACTTCGAAGAAGTGATTTTGGAAAGCAAGCGAGTCTCCGGGAAAGGAAACGATCTCCCTAAAATAAAGAGGTATTATTGACTCCTGCATTTAAAGCACATAACATGGCGATGATTCAGACTTAGACGGTTTGACATATAGATGGCACGTTAAAACTGTCATGAAAAGATTTTAGACTTACTACAGACCAGAACTAGCCACAGTGACCGAGTTTTCACCATTATTGTTGTGGTACATCCGATTAAATTTTTTGGCATATAGCATTCGCTTTTGTCTAGGAACCATTACTCCTCTCTTAAATAGTTCGATACACACGCAATAATATTTCCTTCCTTTAGATGGCTAGCACTGCTGCTTGGGTCGAAAAACAACAGAGAGAACCAAAAACTCATAAACACTCCTCGCAAGTAACCTTCGCGGATATTTTTCCACTCTGTTTAGAACCCCACCGCTTCAGTTTCTTTAAGTGTGAAGTGCAGATTAGTTCTAAATTGAAAAGAATTACTGCCTATTAGAAGATGCCATTTTCACACCCTCAAATGTTGCCGCAAGGTTTCTAGAGCATTAAAAAGTAGACGCGCTGGCGACTGAGGTGCGAAAGAAGCCAGTTCAACAATACACAGCCGGGATGAAGCAAAAAATCTCTTGTTTTCGTTTTGAAAACACCACTTTTGTCAGACGTACTTGACTGTCAAGCCTGTCGAAATAGCTTTCGGATTTTCACGTTTCTAGTAAAATTGGAGAAGTTTATCATATGTATTAGATGATTAATACGCAGAAGTTTCTGAATTGTCATAAGAAAGTGAGAAGCGAAGGGTTTTTCCTGAATATTCTAAGGTAACAAAACAGGATCAGCAGTGTTCGGTTTTTTCAACATTTAATAACTGAATGTGGATTAAGTCAAATCGTTTGTTGATCCTCGGGCCGTTCCTTGGTTTTGACGCTTACTGTTTGCTAGTTTATCAGAGAATTCGGAGGAACCAAACTGAATGTATGATGGTTATGATACATAAAATCACAGATAAGAACTCCAACAAAACAAATGAGGAGAATGCAGAACGAGCCAGTAGAGGCCAGCATGGCTTCCATACGGATATTAGGGCCACGATTTAAGGTCATCGTCATCTCTAAAGATGAAATGAATGAATGCATATCTCAAGAAATGTAGAGTTGATTTTTTGATCCATATCTGTTCACATGAATGGGAATAGGAACAACAAGTTTAGGAGCGTGAAGCTTTCTGTTTCCATGAGCTTGAGGTCCGCCGAGAGTCCTTACTCTCTTCCATTTCGCTCGTCTGTTCTGAAACCAAATTTTCACTTGAACCTCGCTGAGTTTTAAAGTTCTTGCAATGTGTGATCTCTCTTCCAGTGAAAGGTACTTTTTGGTGTGAAATTCTCGTTCAAGTTCTAACAGTTGTTGGCTTGTAAAAGCCGTTCTTTTCCGTCTGGATTTGGTTCCTCCCTCAGAGTCTGAATTTTGGTCTTCTTGTTCGTCCTCATCACTCCCAGTTGGTGAATTTGGACGAGCTTTGCCACTAAAGCCTAGTAGAGGAAAATGGGCATCAAATAGATAATAAAAGCAGTACATTTAACTTAATCAGTAATTGTAAATTTCCTAACACAGAAGCTTTATTGACCACGCAGTAAACGAGGAAAGAACCGGCACATGAACATCATAGGAGGACCAAAACTTCCATAAGGTCTGTAAGAACATAGCTTTTATAATTAGAATAAATGCAGTAAAAATTTCCTTTAGATAAATGTTGAATAACGCTGGATACCTCTCCTAAAAATTAAGTTGTTAAGAGCAATTCCAGCGTGAAGCAGTTTCCAACACATTCCTCTCTGGATATTGAATCCAATTACTACAGCAACATATAGAACAGAACACTCACTTGTTGGCGAGGAGGGGAAATGATCCATTACGTTCTCTCTACGAAAATGTTTGTCCAATTTTTCTTCCTCCATTTGAAATACAGAGACTGTCCTGTCCGAATAGATCCCATCGCCCCGCGGTGTGAGCTCAACCAAATTCTGCATGGCACTCAGTGGTCCGCGGCTTAAAATTCCTTGGCTGTCATAATTTTCTTCCCCTGTTTGCTTCGGAGGATCTCTTCTGGAAATAATCGATTCAATAGAGAAAGAAATCGAATTTTGCATTGTAAGTCGCCCACGTCTTCTTTGTGTTAATACAAGAGCGAACACACATTAGTGACTGGTGGAGTTCGTATTGTTTCTTATCGGATTACGCTCTCTCTGCTAGCAGACGTTACTAATTACAGGGGCTGAGATTTTTTTACGTCAGCCGGACACGTCCCATTGGTTGTTAAGTTGTCAACTGACAGGCGTGAAGAATAAACCGAGCACAAGGGCAAAAATCCTTAATACTTTCAATTCAGTCAAACTAATCAATGTATAATGAAACTTGATTTTACTTCATTGTGTTAAAAATTATTAAATACTACAAGATATTTTCATTTCTTAATTGCCCGGGCGGTATTTTTTTTAAAAGAATTTTGCCGTTTGAACGACACGCTAATTACTCGTAGTGTGAAGACAAACAGATCCTGAGTTTCAGAATAATTCATTCAGATGCTGCGAAGTACACAGCACCCACACAGTTGAGCTTTTCCGCATCTATGACCTGACCTCGCTCTCTGATCACCCTAAATCATCGCTCCTACCATTAAGTAGTCGCGTATCAAGACTGAAAAATACTCTTTTTGGTTCTCTATCTTCAAGTTTGAAGCTTTTTTCAACCGGTTTGCCTCAATTTTTTTGCTTGTGATCTACTCGCGGTTGTTACCTAGTAAAAGGTTTACGTAACTGTCGACTTTGACGCCTTAGACTTTCTTTCCGTTGACACCTTGTACAAACTTCCGAGGTGGAACAGGCTAAAATAATGATGTATTATTTCATCAGAAGAAGACAGATATGATTTCAATTGCCTCGGTGGTCTTTTTAAGAATAAGTGCAAATCATTAAGAGTCTGTCTTCTCTTTCCTTCCGCAGACAGGTGGCCATTTCTATGTCTTCTATGGTAAATGGATACAACATCAATAACAATACCAACTTAACATAAGAATGTAACTGGACCGACCGAAGACAGAGCTCGAAATACTGTTGGTTCAGTTTAACAAGTCTCGAACTTGCAAGAGGGCCAAGAACGCGTGAAGAGGAAGTTATTTGAAACGACTGCTAATCAAGGTGATATCACCATGTTTGTCTGGAATACAGTGCTGTAATCCAAATATATCTTACTCACTTTCAGAAATCCCATAACTACTTTAATATAATAAAGTTAAACGCAAAGGTAAACAAGATGCAATCGAAACCCTTCAAAACCCGAAACCAAAAGCCTTCAAACTGACCAAACCGACCATCCAAGCCCTTCAGTTGTTGCCACTAAAAGTGTGAAAAGTTATTCAGTGAGAGGCGCCTTCGGGTCTATCAGCCTGTACACAAAGGACTAAATCTGATCAGATTAACTGGTTACGTGCTGATTTTTTTGGTAATTACCACAACTGATGACATTATTCATTAAATTGTCGTGTGTCCTCAACAGACGATGCCGACTTCGTCCTTGTGATAATCTCTTAAGCTGTTCCAGACCAAACAACTATGCATTATGCATTTGCTAGACTATAATGAGTTCTGTTGGTTTGTTCTGTTCAAACATTAATTGTTTGCAATAATGCTAACAATAATATTAATGATCATAGTAGTGGTCATAATAAAAATAATAATGATATTGATAATGATGATGACTGTTGCTAAGCCTGGCACCGAAGGAGATAACCTTTGGCTAATGATCCGGTCTAAACCGGTCTAAGGGTGAATGATAATCAAACATCCGTATGTTAGTGCAAGATACTATATATAGCATGCGCGAAAAGGTTCATTGCAGGAACAACATAACACAAACGCGGGTATTTGAGTAACAAGCGGACCCAATACGCGTGTGCTATAAACATGTCTGCAAATTTGTTAAACTGAGTTAGTGTGCAGCCTAATGCGGGGCGCCTGCTCCAGTAAGTTGCACCCCACACGTGCGTGATGTTATGTGCAGTTAGCTAACGAACAAGCTCTTTTCAAGTATCTCGTGGCTCTCTAGAAGTCTAAGGACTCGACTCTCACAGATTTCGCGAGAGGCCCGTGAGGTATACTTTCAGCAGTGACAGTTAGAGTCTACTCGCAGGATATAACATACATACACTCTCGTGTATGTTGTATTTGTACCATGGCATTTACAAAGAATCCAAATAGCTTCCTGTTGGTAGGAATTTGTGGAAGCAGTGATGGCATTAGTTGAGTTCATTGCTGAGATTTCAATTTTGTATTTTGACTTTTCCGTAATTAGAATTAACCCAGAGGTCGCACTCTTGGAAGGAAAAAATGTGTTCAATTTTTCCTACTGCCTCTTTTCCTTTTCCTTAAGGGGGAGGCGGAGGTAGGTCAGGCAAGTCTATAACTTGACTGAATTTGTTCAGAATTGGGTGCAAATATCATTGACTAATAACCATGGTTGACTCCTTTTCGTTATTGACGGATTTGCGCATGTGTAAAAAAATAATGTTTTCCCCTTATTCTTGATTTCAGTGTAATATTTGGTAAGCACTGATCACTTTTTCTCTTTGAAAATAATTTTTAGCTTTATCTCGGAAACAGACGATCTAAAAATTTTCACTTCGCGTTTTGGGCACTTTTCCCGATTCTCAAAGAATGTGGATTGATGCGAAGGCATGTTTGATTCACATGTAGAATATCTTAAATCTTGGATGTAGATGCTTTCCCGTAGAGGGACTATCACAAAGGGCACTAGCCATTCAGAATGGCATCAAGGTGCATCTAGAACCTCGAAACGATATAACATCTTCTACTACCGGGACATCAAGTCTGTTCAAAATTCTGTTCCTCACTTTGTCTTCAAAACTAAGAAATTTGATCGCATTACTCCTACCTAGCTTCCCGTCAGGTGTCGTATTGTTTCTTAAGATTTTTCTTTTAGTTTACAAATCTTTTAACGCCATGATCCCATTGTATTTGTGAGAACTTTTAGCTTATCGCAAGAGTTCGTTTTCACTTCGATCTACTTGCAACAATGACCTCAATGAACCATCTTCGAGAACCCGTACTTATGGTAATCGGTCCTTCGCTGTGTCTGCCTCAAGAATGTGGAACTTATTGCCGCCTTTTATTCGTAGAAGTTCATCAATTCCATTTTTAAAAGAAACTTTGAAAACTGGCCTTTTTGAAAAGTTTCTCAAAGAACATTTTAAAACTTTTTTTTCTGCCATTATTGTAAAGTGCCACGGACAATTTTTTATGAGTTGTACGCTCTAGAAGCACTCCATTATTATTATTAATATCATTATTATCCCAAGTTCGTCAGCTGTCAGAGACTTCCACATTCACCTATTCTCAACGGGAATTTTGTCGTCGGTGTATCCTTTATTTTAACTTGATGTTTAGCAAGAAGGGTGGTACTTCGTTTCTGTTTTCAGCGGATAACAATTTCTGAAAAATCTTTAATGCAGTACGTGGTACGCTGTGCAATTTGGTACAGTCGTCAATTCTGCACGCACGCAGAAGAAGCTGGTGAAACATCAAGTGGAGAAACTCTCGTCAACGTCAACTTAAGTCCATCTGTCAGTCCGCAAGTTCATGAGTTGTTGCACTGCGTATTTCCATACTTATGGTAGCCCATGAAATAAGATAAGATCTCTTACCTTATTAATTCTGTGAGCACAAGCCGCACCCACTATGTGTTCTTGGTTCTTGTTGACACGAAACGAACAAAATCAATAAAGCTACTATGAATAAATCTCTGAAAATGAATTAATAAGTTGTCAGTAATCGGATCCCTGTGTTTCCGCAAACAGCTCTGGGGTCGCCACAGGGCAAACATTTCAAGTTGCTAGAAAGAAATGAATGGCGAAAGGTTGTTTGGACGTCCAAAAAAATCGATTTTGGAGAGAGGTCAACGTTAGCGTTTGATCGAATGGATTTCGTTTCGAACTGATTCCACTGTTCAATTGAAAACAAAGTCATAAACTACCGGTAATCGTACATACTTACTTGAACTAAACTTGGAAAACGAACGTGCAATTTTGTAACGAACGTTATGATATTGTGAGGTATACATGTGATTAAAGGGAAAATACTGCTTTTCGCATGTAAGCCGAGAAAACTGTGTGCACCCTTAAGTTGTTTTCTAATTTGGTCAATCAAATCACGTGACTTACCATTTCACTAAATGACGTCACGGTATCCATATCGATATCGAAGAAAATCGTTAGTATCGTACTTGGTATCGTATCGATTAAGAAAAACTGAGCATCTGATTGGCTGAAATGTGTGGTGGCCGGTTTACATTATCAATATTGTCATCATTCTATTGTCTCGGTAACCAATATGACCGCCGTGAAGTCATGCAACGATTAACTCGATCGACCGAAGAAGCTTGCAGAATGTAAAAATCTTGCCACAATGCTACTGGTACTTTCAATTAATGAAAGTTAATTAAGATGACTTTCTTAAGCGAAGGGAAGCGAGATAAAATTCTGAAACGAGATCTTCAGACCGTTTAGACTTTCGAAATTTCTAGAAAACTATAGCTAGGGGAACGTAATTGATGTTTATTAAAGGTGAGCTTTAAGAAAAGGAAAATTTTAATAATCAGGTTCGATTTCCGCCGTTTTCTTGAATCCGGGGAGGAACGCAAGCCTCGTTAATGGTCAATATTCAGTGCCAGACAATCGTAGAAATAGAGTAAACCAGTTATCCTACGCACCTTATTGTCCTACGATCTCGCATTAAGGGTCCAACTTGATGGTCAAATCGAGTCCTAAAACCACTTACAAGTGGACCCTTCACTTATTGATAGGGGACCACTCATTATTTATCACCTTTTGGGGGGGGGGGAGGGGAGGGTTCAAAGGATATTGGGGAATCACGAGAGGCGAGATTAGTCGCCATTGACAGAATATAAAGTGGGGGAAGGGAGGGTATGGAAATTTGATTGTTTCTTTTTACCTCATTCACAACCTCTCTTTAACTCTATTCCCTCTTTTAGGAGCCTGGTTACGCTGATTACTGTTTTCTGATGGAGTTAGTTATTCCTATTGCATTGACTGAATGTAGAAAACATGCATTTAAAGCTGAAATTTAATTTGAACACGCTCGGTTGTCGTAAAGTTAAAAAGAGAACCGCTTGCTGTTCTACTTATGTCAAACTTTTATACAATTCCCAGGGAAAACTAGTGACAAAACTAGAACGGAAAACGAGATTGATGAAAATTTTGTTTATACCAATTTGGATTAACAAAGTACAGTTAATTTTGTAGTAGATGATGACACATCTGTAGTAGTTGTTAACATCCGTGAAAAAGCTCTTTTATAGGGCAATAAGTTCTAGGCTGTACTGCCGGCATAGATTTTTGATATTAGTATAAGTATTTTTCGCATAGACACCATAGGAGAGGGGATATGAAAATTACAACTACTAATGGAGTGGGAGGGCGTTATCGAAATACTGTAGCGATAGCCTTACAGGGGATGAAACCAATGTCCTCTGACTTTCCAGGCAATCAATAATGACTGGTCTTAAAGAATGCAAATATAACCAAAATAATAATGATTAATTTGGCAAATTAGGAACAGAGAATACAAGCTAAAGTCTTTTAAAAGATTTAACTGAATCGTCAGAAAGTTAGGTTAGATAATGGACTCCTACATAAAAGTTAGTAAAGATGAAGTACAGGATGATAGAAGGCCATGATTACAAACTGAAAGTTCTTCACTTAATTCCCAATGCGTTAATCGCAAGTCAGATTTGAGAAAGACGGTCAGGTGTCTTTTGGTGTGTTAAAAACTTTCTTAGTGAAATGATAAATTCTAAAAATATTTTAAATCAAAGTTAGTTCTCCATTTTAACGAATCAGAATATAATTTGTTTTAAAGCAGCCATTTGATACTAATCAAATATACGTTGAATATCCCTCCTTCCTTCCTTTACTCTTGGGAATTTTATCGCTAGATTTACTGATGTTCCACACAGAAGAGTAGTTTGGATGTAATAATGGGTTAAGCGTTACTAGAATAGAATGTGTTGCGGTTCACTTCATTTTGGTCAACAATTCGTTGACGCTCTCTCACGTTCACTTTTATGTGGTGAAAAACATAATTGATTATATTAAAAGACCTTAAAATAGAAGATCAAAATAAATTTCAAAAAAAATTTCCTACCTTGGGTGTGGGAAAAAAACTCAACATCGACAGATGAATAGCTGTTTTTCATTTAAGCGAGGAAACCTCTCAAGAGGAGGAGCGGTATTTCTGCAATTGATCTGGTTCGATTCTAATTCTTCATTTAATTTTAGAACGATTCCTAAGCCGATTGTTTCGTTGATTGTCATAAAAAATAGTAAACAGTGTTACTTCAGTACGCAAGCTTATATTGGTAATCCAACAATTTCGTGTCTTGTTTTCCGCCGTCCAAAGATTGAAAGCATGAATGCACTCAGCAGTGATGCAAAAGTTATGTAATGATTTTACAATGCTTTAGACTAGTCAAAAGAAAGAACAGGCAGATTTTCTCTTCTCGACATTGCTGAAGACTTTTTCAATTGTGTCAGTGATGGAAAAAGGAAACAGCAAATCACGGTACATTACTCCGTTTCGTTTTTTGGTTTTTGTTTGTTTTTATTCCAGTTATTCGGCTCGATACAACGTTTATGTATCGTTGAGCTGCTTGGGCGACATTGTGCGTTAATCTAAAGTAAATAACAGTAGTACACTGTATTATAGAGGAAATTGCATTGAAGTGAGACTCGGTTTAACAATGGACCGGACTCATGTATATCAACTGTGAATAGGCACATGTTTGACATAAAATATAAATCGTATCAGATCATAGATCGTACAGAACGGGGTCACGTCTCACATGTAACGCTAGAAACCGTGCAAAATATTGCTTTCTTTCACGGAGTCACATCTCCTATGGAGCGAGCGAGGAATGTGATCGGTGCAAAGCGGAATTTAGCAAAAACATATGTATCTGACAAGGATTAATCATTCATTTCCAAGGATGTTTGCAAAGTTCTAGTTTAACAAAAGAGTTAGACTGAACATTAGTAGATCATAGCCACTTTTATTCTGTCTTTAAGAATTTTTTATAAAACATTATCTTCATCAATTCGGTCAGTTGTCCATTCACGACCGGCCAAAAGGTTCCCTTGGCTTTCATTTCTAACCTTATTTAGTTATAGTTATCTGCAGGGTGGACTGAAAGGTTACAAAGCGGGGACCAAGGATGTCCACTCGTGTTGAGAGTGTAAATCAATAAAGGAAATCCTCCTTACGAGGATATTGATTTCTTGAGGCGTGACAAATGTGAGAAATTTTCCTGTGAAGCATCTGATGCAGTTTAGGGTAGAACTGCGTGTCTTGAATTACTCTATTTCTAAATCTTCTACAATCGTGGTTTGCATACAAATCTTCTCGAACTGACTGAAGTCTAACTCTTGGTTTTAGACATAGGTTTTGATCTAGTGTAAACTTAGCCCATGTTTAGTCTTCCTTCCGGATTACTGCAGAAAACACAAGTTCGTGATGGAATGTTTTATTGTTCTTTCCAACAGTTGTTTTCATAGTTGCATGGGTAAAATGACCAAAAGAAAAACAGTAACGTCTGAAGAGCCGTTTGTAATAAGTTGTACAACGTTGATCTATGTAATTTTAATGTATTTCCTGATAGTTTTAGATTAGAAATCACTAGTTTCATACCAGTTTATGAGTTTGACTGCGATTGAAAAGTTAACTCAAGTTGAATACCAAAAATGAAGAAGTCATGTGGCTAAACATGTTTGAACAAATCTGCTGTTATATCAAAATTAAACTGCGAGTTTCGAGCCTTAAGAAGTGGCTTCTTTTGATTGACGAGTCAATGGTTCACATCTAACTTAATTTTTCACCTTTTCATTTTTACTTACTTATTTACTGTAGGGGCAATGTAACTTTTAAGCTACAAATTGTTGGTTTGGAAGAAATAATGAAAGTGATCTTACAAAGCAGTACAATTTCACACTTCGCCTCGAAAGTTAAATAATAGAAAGACGAATACCGTTTTTGCCAGCCCTAAGTTAGTTTGATTCATAGTTTTACTCGTCATTATTCCTGAAATGAACGACATAATTCAGTCTTTAACAAATAATTGGATGACTGAAAGGAATAATCAAGTGAAAATATGTTAATGTGATCGATCGAAGAGTATCCCATAGTTAGAATGCAATTTTACATTCAGAGAGGGAGGTAAAAGGTACAGTCCCCATGCAACAGCCAATTTTCGAGAGCAGTAGAGCTACCTGCCACTTGTGACGCAAATCAAACTCTTACCTCTGGGCCATTTCGGTTTAAGGACAAGGAGGGTAGATATCACAGAACAAAGGTACTTCCTTCCGGCCTTATTTCAAACGAAAACACTCGATCAAAGTTCGTGATGGAATGCTTTTACTTGGCAGAGAGATTTTAAATTCCATTCTATCAACTGCAAACAATTACTAAAACAATAGGAGGTGTGTCACCGCATGGAAATGTACACAGTACTGGTTGGAGAATAACTAGAAATGAAATACAAACCAGACGTAAGGAACTGGTTTGTTTTTACCTTGACAATGATTTAAAAACGTTCGTGCTGATTGTCACAAAGAATGACACGCCCACATGTTCCCGTCATCGGTACGGCAGACACCGCTAGTTGATGTTAAGTCCTTTATACCCCAATATCAGATATCTTTTTTCTCATATCCTGTAGTCTAGAGGGAAGTTGCGCCTGAAGATAACTCAATTTAAGTTGTCTTTTCTCAAACATGAGAATAACATTGGATAAGTAGCACAATACTGGAATTTTGCTCTATAGTATTTATAATCAGTTTAATATTTCTAAAAGTTTAAATACTATACATCCAACATTCCTGATTTTCTATAGTTTTGGTTTTCGGTTGAGACAAATTTATCAAATAGTGGCGCGGTGTCACCTCAGACACTCAATCGTGGTGGGTATGGCATGTACCATCTCTTGTTTTTATGTCTGCAAGTCTGAGGCGCCCGTGTATTAGGAAGAACAACGCGTTTTGTATGTGTGGTGTTTTTTTTCCGCAGGTTCCTACTCGTTGCAGTTCGATCAATAGATCATTCGGATCCTGTGCTTACGACAAGGGGCTCCTTAACGTGAACCCGAGAGGAAACTATATCCTCTTGCTTTTTTGAAATTTTGTAAGAGCAAATTGGAATATTAGCAACTAAAAGTGACTCCACTCTGATTTTCAAAGTCATTCTCAACCCCTCCCCAGGCACTTAGTAAAATTTTCTGGAGGATGTCGTTCAAATTACTACGATCAAAGGGTGGTCGTGATACTCAGAGTTCATGCTGAGAACTAAACAAGATGCCGCTGCTCCAAAACGGCGGGGAAGCCGTGAGCCGAACGGTGCTTTGCATGATCTTAAGTATTGCCATAAATTTCATTGTGCATTTATCCATCGTAACCCTTCCTGCTTTTTAGCACTTTGTTTTCTTTGGAAAATGATCTTAGTCAAATAAAATAAAGTTGACCTACAATTGTGGACTTAAATGACTGACTATTCGTTTCCGAATTGGATCGCACAATGTTATGTGCGCAATCTAAGATTGAAAAATTACAGATTAATCTGTCTCTGCATCGAATACCTTTTCAAATGCTTTGCAAATTATGATTTCCCGTCCGGAAAGTGGCAGAAATTTAAGTTTAACTGTGCTACTGTTTCCTCGCAAAGATGTGCTCCTCAGCACGAAAGTGTGGCAATGCTAGTTTGTATTTATTTCTGTCTTAAGTCGCACCACTTAACTTATACCACTTTTCTCCCTCTTACTAAAACTAGTCATTTCTCACTGGGCTGTGTGACTTCTAAAGTTTGTCCCAACAAGCGATGAAAGACTTTTCCGACGAAAGCACGGGAGTTCAAAGGGAGTGTAAATGTCTGCTTCCTGACCGCAACCTATTTACAGTATCTCAACGAGCCAATTAAGTTACAGTACTCCAGAGTCATAATTAGCCGGTTATCAAAGCGCGAGACTGGAGTCTCCAAACTAACTTATATTGGTGCCAAGCAGCCGAGAAGTTGACTGCTTGTAAGAAATTTACCTGGGAAGGGACATAATCAGTTGAGGCAATATGTCTTCTAGAGTGAAATATGGCTCGGCTTTTTCCCCTGTCATCCCTTCTAAATCCGTCTTAAATCATCCTTTCTCCATTAAAAACCTGCTCAGTCTCTGCGACGACCGACGAGGTGAAGACAACGAACATAATAAAAGATTCGCCAATCTTTCCCCTGCCAGCGAAAACACGGCAAGGAAAACACGCCCCGTGAAAGAGGGCACAGGTTTGAGTGCAGCACAAGGTAACTTCGATCTAAACAGTGTCTGGCCGGCATGGGTTTATGCTACGAGATATTCGAGGCACGGTATCCCTCCAGGTTAGTTATAATATAAATTAGATTAAAAGATATGACGAAGCCTTGAAGCTACGTTATACATAAGTAAAGCGGTGCAACATTTTCTCCCTTAGCAGACTCCCATCGGAACTGCAATAAATCATGTATGACCCGTCTCAACGTGATACATTAAATAGCACCTTCTTGGAGAGCATAACTTTTCACTTCATAAACAGCTATCCAGCGTGCGATTTCTGAACTTGAATTAAATTTAAAAAAACATATCTGTGAAACGTATTCTTTCCCCAATTTATGTTTCAATCGTGCAAAGGTTAACTTCTTAGGGTAATGCTCTTTTAAATAAATACGCTAAAAAGGGCTTGCACATCTAATACACCAAACAATAATACTCGCAATGAAGTATAAATTTATGTGGCTTGCAAACCTTTAGCTTAGGCCGTAACATTTTGTATAATGTTTGCGTCAGAATTTCAAAATACACACCAAAGGAGGTGAACAATGAGAGATGTGTCTTTTAATATAATACTAACAACAGGCCAATATCGTATAATAATTTTTTTTGAATGGTGAAGTGTAACATTTATCTATTCGAAGAGGAACTCCGTGAACCACTACATATTCAATGGGTAATTAGAAGGGGTGTTTACCGACCTTTTAATTGCTCGGAATCAGAACAGGAAAAGACATAAAACGAAATTTCATCAGATTTTACAGCTGCCGCTTTCCCATGATCTGATTCTTTGGCGTTGTTTCTGTAGACATTTTTTGGGAGCTTTTCAAAGTGGAAAAAAACCGTCGACTGCATTAGTCATCACAATTGTTTAGATGTATCAAAGAAGTTGCGAAAACGACCTCAAAGGTGCTAACTAAGTTAGCCAAACATGATTAGCGATGGCTAAAATTATCAATCACTTTCGGAAATATTTGGAAAGTTCAAACTGATTTCCTGAAGCGTAAAATTGAAGCTTAAGTGGACCGAATATGAGAGGACGCTACCGGATGTGCTATATTTATTGGCTAAGAGTAACCTATAAGCATTTCCGCTGGACTCGTGTGTTCCCCACGCACACGCATACGAGCAATACGTGCAATGGTAAACATCTCCACTTTAATAAAAATACAATGGAACTTCGGAAGCTGGCACTTTTGGCACAATCTGACGTGAAATTTACTGACGTGCCTGAATAAACGGAATCCTTTCAAAATGCATTCAATTCCTCTGATTCACAGAAACCATTGTGATATTGATAGATTTGTCAGATTGAAAAAATGATCATTTTACCGTGACCTCTGATACAGGTGGAAATTGACATTGTTATATCTCACCAAGAGATTCTGGAAAATTTACGTCGGTAGCCGATGAGGAACACACATTACACTCAAGCACTGATTTAACAGTTCTGGTTCGTTGTCAGGCTTTGGAAAAAACTGCGACGGACATGAAGGTCACGAAGAGCAAAAAAAATGCAAGGAAAAGTTATGCTGATAACTCCCCAATCATATATCTGATTTCTCAGTAAATGGGTACTTTCAGCTCTGAATGCGTCCTCTCCACGAACTGGAGAAATGCAGAAAATTGAGTTTGCAAACTCCTATGTTCATTTGCAGTAACCTGCACATATTGCAGTCTTTTGGGCTTAGTTGGTTATTACTTTTATTTTTCTTTTTTAAGCTCAAATATTAACTATTACGGTTAAAGACCTATTATGTTATCAACTGATTTAACTTACAGCAAACTATGCAAACCCACGAAGGCCTCGCAAACCTATCAAGAGACAGAAGCAACGGCCTCTTTTCTCGCCAGAACAGCTCCAAAAACTCGAAGAAGAGTTTGTCAACGAAAAATACATCTCCAAGTCTCGACGGTGTAAACTAGCCGCAGAAATAAGCCTTACTGAAGCGCAAGTCAGAACATGGTTTCAAAACAGACGAACAAGATGGCGTAAAGAAGTACATGAAGAGGACGACGATCCCAGCTGGACCACGCACACTGGAATGGCAAAATATGACGCTAGTGTCTTAACTGCTAACTGTATGATAGTACGAGGATATTGCTCATCTTGAAACTGTGACTTCCACACAGATGCATTTACCCTCATGATTTTAAAGTCCTGTTAGTTACTTTTTCTCCGACAATAACACTCGTGCAGTGCAGTAAACTGAGTAAGAAGAATATTTTTCATCAATAAAATACATGGCAAACCAAGGATTTCCAGGCAAAATGAAAGATAGAAGACAAAATTATTCGACAGATTATGCGTGTATTTTCGGGGTTTTTGAGCAAATGAAAAATCAGCTTATAAAATTAACTGATGCATTTTAGATCGGTAAGGAAATTTCCAGAATGGGAAATTAGATTGGCAGCCGTGATCACCATGGAAAGCTGATTATCCAGGGCTGCTGGTTAAAAATACGAGGCCTTGTACACGTATTTCAAGGAGGCGAGTATATTCACTGTGGCCGTTTTAATGATGAAAGTTACATTTTTTGTCACAGGACTCGGCTATAAAACTGAAGTGCGGAAAAGCACAATCTTAGGGAGTTCGCATCGCACCATCGATGATTTGTTTCACTCGAGTTAGTTCTTCTACCACGGTGTTATTTCCAGACCAATTGCTTGTCAGGTTAGAGCGTGTCATTTCGGTGAATTTTGTACATTTTAATACCTACATAAAATTTTTTTGTGAACTTCACCAACTCAAAAATCTTGCTTAACCAACTCTTGTTCTTCTAAAATTTAATTATAAGCAAAAAATTTTGGTTGGCAATTTTAAAAGACATTATTTTTAAAGGATGTTAATGTGTAAGAGTGTACGTGTTATCAATCGTGTTCTCCACATGATGGTAACCTTGCCTGTGTAGATTATCTATGTACGTTCGAAATTTCAACGTTACAACCAGACCTATTATTTATTTCTTAGTTCATAAAAAAATTATGCGTCAAGCAGATTAATAAAATCAGTCGTTTAACCAACTGAATTGAGTTTTTACTCATTCCCTCAAAGACCACCTGGACTCGATATGCTGATAACCCCCATTATTTACCATTCTAAAGTGTATTCCATTATTATTTTCGGGAGATTATTACCGTGAGGTTTTATTCATCAGATTCGGAAGTTCAAAATCAAATCCTCAGAGAAAGATGAAGCGAGAGAAAGACGTGGTCAATACTTACTTTCCTTTACAATTTTAAAAAGGCAGTGTATTACACTGATTTCATCATTTCCTTACCATGCAGTGGTATACTTTGTTTCCAAGTATTATGGTCATAACCGTACTCTGTTTCCCTTCCTTACCGAGAAGAAAAGGTACGTACTACTTCGGTTTAACGAGCGAAAGCAATACACTGGCCACGTACACGATCTTTTTTTGTTTGAAACGATTCATAAATCGTGTAAGCAGCAGCCATGCACAGGTTTCTAGCCAAGAATCGCTGTTGTATGCATCGTGAAATGAGTATGTATCCTTTGTTAGCCTCTGCATGCCGAACTAGCTTTCTAGGAAAATGTGCTTCACTCATTCGCTTGTAAAAAGGAAAAATGTCATTTCATCAGAAAATTTGATTCATCACATTCTCGACTGGTATATTAATAGGCCGGAGAATATTGTCTAAGTGAAAGTGTTAATCCGTTCCTAACCTACAAACGTTTACAGACACTTGAGTCAACAAAGAGAATACCAAGGGAGATTAAAGCATGTTGACTCAACAACACTAGGATGTCCTTGGATTATTGCGAGCTTTTTTAGTACGAGGTAGGAAGGCCAAAATATGTCATAAGTGTTAATTGAGGATACTGTGAATAAGAAAATACTAATAATATGTTCATTCACTTTCTTTCCGCGGCGCGGGTGAGTTCCTGATCGGCTTAAATCTCATCGTCTGGTCGGTAAAGATCTGTTCTTCAACACTCCCACTAGCTCTTCTTGTAGAGAGAACACTGGAGGTGCTACTTTAAAATCAATTGAATTGTTACCTGCCATATTTTTGTAAGATCATCGTTCCCTAATGGCGCTAAAAGATTCCTAGTCAGTTGTGAAGGCGCCGGAGTGAAATCCAAATGTCTATTCTACATAGTTTTATTTCCCGCCTTTAACAAGATCTTGTTCAATGTTACCGTGAGTTCACGGTGTTACCGGTTCTTATCAATAGAAAGAAACGTAAAAAGCTTTGAAGTTTCTCCCAAGAGTTCTAGAAGTAAGAAATACCGAAATCGCGTCTATCTAGGACGAACGAGATGGTGTAAAGAAGGAATTGTGGATGATCTCTGCTGAACCTCGCACACGTGGAATGGCAATGTATGACCCTGTGCTAATGCTAATTTTATGATAGTTCGTGACTGAAAACAAAGTGTCTTTGAGGAATATTTTACCTACTATTACATTACGGTACTAGGAATATATGCATGTATTAGTGGTTCGGGGATTTTCGTCTCTCAAATTCAAATTTTCAAATTTGAAAGACTAATGACTGACTAACCACCGGAGTCTAACCTCCAGACAGATCCAGGTTATCCAAGTTTTGGCGACCCAAAGCTGAGGGAGCCGTACGCACGATTGTTTAGTGGTCTGAGCACAAATAAAAGGACTTCCCAGACATGAGTGATCCCAGCAGGGTGCAGGGTGTTTTAATGCATAGCCTAACATTCCTTACGAGTTCACAGTCGCTCTTTTGGCACAACATATCGGGCTGTGATAACAGCAATCACGAGCCGGGGTAGCCAGAATTCGTTTAGCGTCTGCTTATGACAAATGTGTACCATATTTCCTAGTGCTTTCGATTATGAGTCAACATACCAACCAAAACTAACCCTCAGTTTATATATACACGTTCTGACATTAATTGGTCTGATTACCTTGATCGTATCTAGATCACTTCAACTCATCTTGGACCAGCTTATTAGTTGTAGGTATATAATAAGTTATAAATCTAACTTTGAAACCGTAAGGCCTGTCATTTGAGATCATTCTTTAACTTAAAGCAAGGATATATAATGAAAGTTGCTCAACAAAGTATTATAAAGTAAGTTATCCTGGATCGCAGTATTCCTGTCTGTAATTGAACATGCAACTGAAACGAATAAAGTGAGCTGAATTAAAACTTGGAGAACCTGACATGGAATCAAGTATCAGACTTTATATTTTGACTTGCTTACAACTAGTATAACAGCTGAGTCACGTAGTGAAAATGAAAATGATGGCCGAACTTCTCCAAGTTTTACTTTCATTCACAACACTTTTGTTATCAGTTTGTTATCAGTTCACTGAGTGCGCGACAAAAAAGATGAAACTATTAGCAGCCGAGGCAAAGGAATCGACTTAATTTCAGCTGCTAAGTTCTGTCTAATTTTTCATGAAAAACGTTGCGCTTCCTTAAATCTCCAATGTCAGGCGACTGTGCTAACCTCACCCCACCCCTCTCAAGCCCCTCCCCCCCCACCTGACGAAAGCATTTGATCATGTTGACCGTGAAAATACGCCACATTCGATGGTGTCGCTTTTCACACATCGCATCCGGCGAAGGTTCAATATTTCTTTATCCATTTAAGATCATTGAAGGTCCATGCTCCGAATCAGTCACAAAACCTATTTCACTATTACTACTTCCTCTCCTTCATTTGCTTACAAACCAGAAGTGTTGCTCTAGAAATAAATTGACAGACATGGCAATTACACTTAACTTTTGAGATGCTCTTTTTCGTTTTTTTTTAAATCCCTTTCCTTTATCTGAGTTAAAATTTGTTCTTAAGAGAAACTACAAACGTATGATAAGAACGTGCGGAACATATCCTTCGAAGTCAAAATTGATTAAGTAAACTATATTTAGAATGCAAACGAAACCTATCAAAATAAACCAAACTTTAACAAAGGAACAAATGTCTGTTTCAAATATATCTAATGAGTGTGCCCAACGGGAAACCCGCGGCTTTCAAGGTCAAAATACGGCAGATGGCACGTGCACCACCGAATATAAACGACAGCCCCATTGGAGTTTGTCTCTAAACCAAATAGCACGTTTGTCAAATGGGTGCCAATACATCACCACGTAATTGAAGGGTACGAGATAATCAATCGTTTTCTCATCTGCAATTAATAAAGCGAACTACGTAAGGGTTAAGGTGGCAAGTGAGTTTTTTTTTACAAAGAAAACCTTAAAAAAACAGCGGAAAGTTGTAAAATATTTACGTTGGGGTAAAATTAATACGATTCCGGTGCTCGCACTGGTTTCGCAATAGTATCTCCTGTCGATGAACAAGTAGAGATAACGTTGTTTTGTGAGGGAATTTGATCTTGCGGATTTGATCATATCAGAACATATTATTTTGAGAGGTCATAAAGCTACCTTTTAATCGGTTATGGCGGTGGATATCAGATTGCCTTTAATATAGATTCCCGTTGCTCCCGATCCCTCAGAATTATCATTTTCGGTCCCTCCACTGCCTCACGAGATACATTGTTAACTATATAGATTTCTTGAAGGAAAGCTTTTTGGTACGTTCATGAGCCCTTAGTGTTTTTTGTGTTAAGTTTTTCAACGGATCTAAATCGTGGGGCATTTCAGTTTTCACGTACGGCCGAAGTCATCTGATGGGGGGCTAAGTCTAGTGGGTATTATGTTAAGCGCATGTGCAAACAAAATGGCCGATGATACTAACTGTAATCCGTGTCCACGTAAATGTAGTGTGATTTAGCTGCATATCTTAGATCGGTTTAAGATCTTCCAAAAACGAGCATTTGAATAATGTCACTTGATCATAATCCCCAATGTTCTGCCTGCAAAATAGCGAATTCTTTGATGTGGAGGAGAGGGTCTAATGGCGAAATCCTTTGTAACAGCTGCCATTTGAAGCGAGTTAATTCTAGCGTTCGTGCTCAGCGACAAAGCTCTAAGGAGAGCAAAAAGCTCATTGCAAGGATTAAGGCAGGAACACGAAAAGGTTGGAATGGAAAGTCAGGGGAAAGATCAAGAGGTCGCCGTTCCTTGCAAAAGATGAAACGAAAGGTAAATTTAAGTAAATGTTATATTTTACCTCGGTACATACAACATGAACATTAAATTATTTTATTGTAAACTGCCAAATTTATTTCCTGAGGCTTTTTTTTTTCATACAAAATGTTTACTACTCTACTGAGGTCCTGAAAGAGAGAGGTGACCATAAACTACTCGATGAAAAGGGTCTGTATTGATCACTAACAACAAATTAATGAGAAATTTCACGTTAGCCTCGAAGGATAGAAAAAAAATGTACATTAAGACAATAAGTATAGTGTAAAACCCAAACGATCACTTTTTCGATTTTTTTTTCCAAAATGCGCCCAGACTTTCAACTTCCATGCAATAGACTTACAATTTTTACGTGGCTGTAAGGATAAATATCTAGCGAGTTTTGAAGGGACAGGTTCCTCCTGTGAGGAAGTCCAACTCCGTTTTTTTAATTCTTGCGTGAATGTGAGGAACCGATATATTGACTCAAATTCTTAACTGAAATCCAAATATCTCTGCAATTACTCTTTTAGTCGTTTTTAGACAAAACTGTCTTTGCAAACTTTTAGGACTTGTCCAATTTGATGAAATACATGACATTGCACCTTGTGCTTGTAGGAATGCAACTGTTTTCAACAATCATTACTTTAATGCCATTTCCATCTGACTTCAAGATGTAAATGGTCATAAAATGCAAACAATGGCATACCACTCTGCTGAACAAAGATAAAACTTTTCCTAGAGTGAAGCTCAGTCAGCATTTAATTACAAAAAGAGTACTTTGGTCTGTGACCTAAGTCTAATGCTACATTTACATGTATACCCTCTTTTAACAGACTGGGTGTTTTACAGTTTTATCAGTAAAGGGCAAAATTACTGAGCGCTGATTGGTTGAGAGAGAGGGCATTTTTTCTTAATCAAGGGCATTTTTAGTAATACATGATTACCTGTTAATATATCCATTGCATAACCGTTCGTATCTTGAAATTTGTTAAAAATAGACTGCGCGCGTGATTTTCCTTCGTATAAATTTTGCCCTTTATTGATAAACAAGTAATTTTACCACACATTAAATTTTAATGTGCTATACAAATTAAGTAATTTCTTGTTACTTTTAATATAATAATTAGGAAGTAAAGATTTTACCACACATTAAATTTTAAGTTATCTCTGTATGGTTCGTTTCACCCATTTGAATCAGTGACTTGAGTCAAACATCTTCTTTAAAGATTACCTTAGCACTTGTGAATACCCCAAGCTTAAAGGAGGTGTACTACCTTGTACATTGATAGACACTGATGTTATCTGTTGTCAAATATGGAACTATTTGTCATTTTGATTGCAGCCTTATAAGTCACCAGAGGGTTTTGCTACTGTAGTTGCAGCTGACAGGATTTACTTCAAAGTATGGCTTTGTGGAAATTTATTGTTAAAAATAATATAATATATAATATACTTTATATTTTGACCTGGGGATGATAGTCATAAACTAATTGATCCTCTCATCATGTGTCATTATTTGACAACTTTTAGTCAAAAAGGCCAAACAGAGAAGGGAGGGAACAATTGAAATATTCTAAGTTGATAACTACTAGTTTAGTCTTTTTCAAAATGAGTAAATTTAAGAAAATAGTTCAAGAGAATTATTGTAAGTGATATCCAAGAAAAATCCTGAACACACAAGAGCTTATTTTAAGGAAACCTCCTCTGGTGGAACAAATAATCTTTAAATTAACAAAAATTATCTCACAAGTTAAAATTTATCTTGAATGGCACTGAAGTAGCTAGAGGGAGAAAAAAACGAAACTGATCTGTGTCATCTTCAAACTGGAATTCTCCATCTCAATGTTTAATTGTATGTAATTACCTGTATGATTCCCTTGGGACTCAATTAAATGAAAGAGCTATTGTCTCTTGATAATAATGACAACTGTATAACATCATGGAAGCCAAAATGGTGTTTTCCAAAATGCGAACATTGTTTACTGTATTTTGTACATTTCAGTTCTTGTTTCCTAATGTTTTTAAACTAATCTTCATGAAGCATAGCAAGTTGTTTTCCAAATGGTGGTTTATGAGTTGGTTGTTGTTGAGACAGGGAAGGTGGACATTTGTACATGATACCTGACACAGTTAAGTGTTTCATTTATTTGCATTTGTTAAAGGGTATTCTTTACCAGGCTGGTGACATAGTATCCATCGAAGACATAGAGGGTGATCTGTATTATGCCCAGCTTAAAGGCTTTCTTCAAGATCAGTATGCACAGAAAACTGCAGTTATTACATGGCTTCTACCTATGGTTCCTAAACCATCACACTTTGATCCTGCTCTCTTTTTACCGGGTAAAGTATGTGTACTTGTGATGAATATGAAACATGTCGGTTAACATCATGGTTTCTCTTGCTTTGTCTCAAGTTATTTTCAGACTATGTAGAAGACAGGTTTAACTCTAACAGAAGAACTCTGATGTTTCAATTTTTCAGGACCTGAAGAAGACACTCCTAGACCGATGGAATGTATGGAGTTTGTTTGTAGAGCCCCAACAGAACTGTTTAAAGCCAGAAGAGAACATCCTCCATTTGTAACTCCACGACAACCCGACCTTAATGATTTAGCAACAGTTGCAGAACAACTTCTCTCAAATGAAAATCATCAACAGTTATAAGTTGACATTACTCTAGTTGGTGTAGTACCCATATGCCTTGTTTGGGTATTGCACAGCAAATTTTATCTTTGTTGGAGCTCTTTCAAACATTTTCTCTCCATTTAGCAAGAGACATACAGTTCACAACCAAATGACTTTGAAAACTTAGTCATTGAAAAGGATGTTCATGATTTAAAACTGCCTACATGTACATATGGGAGTTGTGTGTAGTATATTTAACTCTGTATTTGACCAAAACTTTCTCTTATTTCCTTACTCAGACCTTTATTAATTACTTTTAACCCTTAACACCTAGCATCAGTATGCATATTCTCCATACTATTCACTACACATTTCCTAAGGTGCAAACAAGAGCTGCTTTAGTTTAATCTTGTGACCTTAATTAATGTTTGATTCAAGGGTGATATTGTAAGAGGGGAATTAGATGCAAATCACTCTTACAGGTCAAAGGATTAATGATATCATAATTTGAGAATATTCACATTACATTGCTGTTTCTTCAGTTCTGCCTGATCGAATAGAGATAAATTACCAGCTGAATAGGAGTTGATAATCCAGGACATAATAGACTATTCAACATAGCAGAATACATACTATGTGGATGAAAACTGCAAAGATTCAATACATAATGGACTTTCTTAAAACAGTGAACATGGTTTGACAATATTACAAAAGATCCTAGGTTGACAGAGGAAGTAAAAGTTGGTGTCTGATTGCCAACTTAAGCTTGCTGGTAGTGCAACCAATTCCTGGCTACTGGCTGCCATTTCTGGTCAATCATTTACCACATATAGTAACCAAAGCTTGCTCTTGAACAGCTACATTGCTGTTAAGTTAAGTTAATCCATTCCATCACTTGATTGAAAGTACTGGTCCTTTTTTTCCATGCTGAAACCAAGTAGCGATGTCAAAAATGTCCACCTGCTTCCATTTCAACAGATTCAGCTAAAAGAACAATAGCTGAGCACTGCCTGAGGTACCTCCTGGTGTTCACTTCAGTGTTTACTTCTGAAGAGCCCCTGAATCAGAACATTTTAGTTACTGTTGCTGATGTAGCCTTCTCCATGTTGTATTGGCGAAAAAAAGACTTGGAATATTCATAAGTGCTGATCATGACAGCACATGCTGGTGCCACTTTTATCAGTCTTGCTGATACACCTTTCAAAGGAAAAAAAAATCAAGCTGACACCTTACACAGACTTACATTTCTAAAAAGGATTTTGTATGAGGATCATGAGGATTTTAGCATTTGGTTTTGGGCTGTATCTTCCTTCAGACACTCCTAGCCATCAAGACCATGCGTGTAAACGAGACCTCTACTAGTAACAGTATCACATACATTAGTTATGCCCTTTAAGGACAGCTTTGTAAAATACTAGGGTAATTTAGCATTATCAACTGAGTTGATAGCGTAAATTGGCCTCCATAAAGAGTTTAAAAGCTGATGAAGGGCTAACACTTAAAAAGTCAGCTTTTAAAACTCTCTACAGTAGCCAATTTATGTTACCAACTCAGTTGATTATACTGCATTACCCAGTTACACTTTCCCACTAATGCAGCACCACAGTTTCTTTAGAAACTCACCCCCTTTATTTATTTGTAAAATACTGACAAATAAATAGTGATTATTATTTTACTTTTTGACCAAGGTTGTCCATTCCATATGACTCCACAATCACTTACTATTGTTTGTTAGAAATTCCAAATAAATAGATAAAATAATAGTAACCCTGACTTCTGTAACTGGTGAGACTGAAAAAATCACGTAACACTTCATGAGTTGTAACTGTTGTATTCTCACCAGCAAAGAGACTTTTCCATCCACTTTCTCTATACAACTGGAAAATCAGTGAGAATGTAAAAGGCAACTTCTTGACAGCACTGGCATTTTCTGTAAAGGTTGTTTTAATAACATAAATAAATCACTCAAACAGCTTTTCCAATTTTAAATCAAAATAGAGATTACTTATTAAAACAGTGTAAATTATATGTTATTCTTTGACATAGGAGAGCACAATTTACGCATGGTTGATCACTTCAGTGATAACTAAGGGATACAACAACACACAAGATAGCTTGACCAGTGAAAACATTACATACTAAACACAAGTTCACCAAGTTCCATCTGTCTGTGTGTTTTAACCACATCAAATGGAGTTGTTATCAATGCAGCCATCTGCAAAACAATGATTTTCAGGAATTGAAAAAAGTTTCAAATTGTTAGTAGGCAATCTATCAAATATATGCCTGTTTATCTGTCAGTCTGTCTATCCATCAGACCTATTTATCTATCTATATTTCTATCTACCTGATGAGCTGAACTGTACAAGCTTTTGATTGGTTCTTGCTTATGACATTGGAGGGCAGATGTAGATGATGTCATCATCCACAACACTTTGTTTTTTAACATTTGAAACAAATAGATTATATCTGGCCATGGATCTGTACAGTAATAGATCACAGAACAGCTTTGTGCTGTGTCACTTTTTTTCCTCACCAGACTTTAATGTCATCTGTAATCTATTACTAACCAGAAATGGAAACATGCATGTATGTGAAAAAGATGTGATGGATGATTAGGGCAAATAATTGCACTGTGCATTCCTGATAACTTGAACCTTTGGAGGGAAATTGAAAAACCTTGCATTATAAATAGTTTGAGTCATTAGAAGGTTGAGAAATGACTGGAAATTAAGGAAAAATATTTTCTCAAACAATAAAAGTTTTGTCAAATTTATCTCTCTCAGTATAAGTGTTGGGTGAAAATGGAACATTTTGAACAAGAAGTTTAAGAAGCAAAGCTTCATGGAAATTCAAGGTACTGTAATTATTAAATGTACTCTTAACCAAGAAAATGTTGAGGAGATTTACACAATTGGTGTAATACATATTTTTTGCATCTTAATGTAGAGGGCAGATTAGTTTATAAGAAATTAGGAAAAGTTGGGATGACCTTGGATTCTTCTTAAAATATATACTTCTGTGAAATAGTCAGTAATATTTACTTAAACAACCTGCAAAATGATACATGGCTATAAACAAGAACCCTAGTCAAAGAAATTAACTTTTCTGGATTACAGCAGAGTACATCTTGTTTCCATTTGTCAAGCATTGACAAACAAAGTCAGTGCTACAGAGGAAACCCAGATTTTTTGAAAATGCAGGTCCCCTGGTTCAAGTTAGTGAAATGTATCAGTTGTCCAGGGTACATGTTACCAAGGTAGTCTGCAGTGCAGGCATCTTATTAGGGCAGGTTAATGTTAAGAAGCTTGTAGTCATTTATTCAACCAGCCATGTTTGATTTGGAGTTAGAGTCAACGAAGGGGGAGGAGATGGGGCCCAGCAAAAAGAGGCCTGTCTGAGGGGGCTGTTAAGAAGCATAATGACCCCTGATTAGTTATGTGTCACTGCATTTTGGGAAAAGAGCAGTTAATGAGTTTACTCAAAAAACCAGAAGCACTCTTATGTGACAAAAACAAACACCTAGAGCCAATGAGTGAAAGAGTGAAGCAGTTTTTCAGCCAGGAGAGAAATGGGTTGAACAAAACCTCCTACCCATTCACAAATATAAGCTGATATTTGCTGCACTTCATAATTTTCCAAATGACAATCCTTGAGTGTAGCTGCCATTAATCCATTTGATGATATTTCTTCCATTATTTCCATTGATGGTAAACAATACTTTAAAACAACATACACTCAAATATTTACCCGCCATCATTCATTTGATGCACACTGGCATCTGAAATATCAAGCTCTTCCAAAAACTAACCGCTAATGCTGCCAGGAGATCTTTTCCAAAGATCAGTGTAGAAATTATGTCTATTTGCTCTGCTCCCTCTCCCCACTCACCCCTTCAATACAAATTTCATTCTCTCCAGCCTTTTGTGACTGTTAAAATCAAAGGTGACAGCTATAATTTTCACAAAGTTAATATTTGCTCCTGCCAATTACACCTTCTCTGCAGACTAGTTCCCAAGGAGATTTCCAGTCATTCCCAGTCAGTGAAATTACAATATATGTGTGATGCAAATCCAGGGAAAATAAATTTTCCTTTCAGTTAACACAAGGTTTTATTTGGCAAAGGTTCAACTTATCAAGTGTCTTCCCAGGTATGTAAAATATGGATGTAGGTAAAAAGGAGAATCTGCAAATTTAAGTACAAAAGTGAACTAAGCTTCATGTCTTGTGATATAAATGGTCTGCTGTACTTCTCGAGTTTTGTTTTTTACACTGTACTACAAAACATAATGCGCAGAATATTTAGCCTATGAAATAAAATAATGAGAAATGAGACATGTACTCACAGCTCCAGACAGCACTCCCGATGAAAAACTAGCAATAAATCCTGGCTCAACAAACTTTGATTTTAGGACTTCATAGCCCATCCAATAAACAGCTTTTAAAAGATAAACAGAAAATCAGCAACAATACTTAGGTCAACAATAAGGTAGAATTTCTACTACAATATGATTAACACCAATATGCTGGTGTTAAATTTGAAATATCCTGTTGATGTTGATAAAAAAGGGCATGTAAATAAACTACATTATGATATTTTGATGTTTTTATTTTAGTTTGATTTAGATGATAGAAAATGACTAAAAAATGGGGTCAATTCCATTGAAAATCAGTTCTTGAGTCAAATAAATACTACAGCTGGAATCAGTGTTACTGATTAATACAGTCCCAACCTGAGAATGGTACATCCCTGAGCAGTGTAGGTCCTAATCCATGCCAGAGTGATAACATTCCCCCTTGCTGAATGGCATTCTTAATAACACTTACAAGCTCTGAAATAAAAACAAAGAAATGCATTAGAATATTGCAAAAAACGCCTACAAAGATGATACCTACATTCATGACAATCATCTTAAAATTTCAACTACTGTCATGCATAAAAATGATTCCTACTTGATGCATCTGTTCCATTTACCAGTAACTGGAAACATTCAACAGACAAAGTGCAAAAAAAAAAAACCACTACACTCCAAATATCATGAAGGTTGGACTTCATGTGTAGTATGTGATGCAACTTAGATGAACAATACCTTTATAACTAAATTCCTTTCTTGACTGCAGTTTGGTTCTGATCATTTCTATTGGTGATATGCATGTGATGGAGGCAGCTGAAGTAAAAAAAATATGATCAGATTAGTCACCAAACCCAATGGATAATGTTGTTGTATTTCAAGTAGATAGAAGGTAACATTTACATTTAGTCTCATACACACAAGTTGATAAAGAGTGGTCATGTTGACTATTACTTTTACCATACATCAAGTTATTCAGTCATTCAGACTGAAAGCAGGCCCGAGAGGTCATTGAGGTATTGTTTTAAATACCAGTTCATGAATGAGATGTGCATGTAATTTTCAAATGAATCTTGTTGGTTATGTAAAATGACAAAAGAGAAACCAAATATTACTTCGAGCAGTAACTCCAGCACACATTGGTGACCAAAAGTTTTCCTCTCCCTCTTTAAATCCATACACCACTTTAAGCTGGTCATAAAGAGTAAAATATATCATTGTGTTTGGAACAGCCATAACTCTGCAACACAACCATAAGAAAAGTCAGTCAGCACTCTGAGCAAACTCTTGTTGTCATAGCAAGAAAAAGATTTTTGGAAGTAAATATGTATGAAAAGTTGCAACCTTGGTTTTGTAGTCATTCAACAAGTAATGGTGTGACAATGAGACAGCTTTACTAAAACAGAACAACCAATCAGATTTCAAGGCTTCTAGAAAGGAACAAATCAAATGATAGGAAAACGAAAAACAACTTTTGTAACGTTTTATAGACCAGCTCAGCATTGGAAAAATAAAACATTTGTATAGACTAAAAATCCTGTATTTGAGAAACGGAATTTTACAATTTCAAAATAGATATAATGAAGTGATTGAACTTTGTGTCATGCAATTTCGGTCTGAAATCATACTGTAATACAACATAATTTTGGTCTGAAATCACTACTTGTGTAATTTTTAAATCACTCATATGATTTCAGGTTGCACTTCACTCAGTTCAACTACCATTATTTATCACCAACATCCATGACACTTCTTTTAAACTTCTACCAAATGTTTACTAAGGTAATCTCCTGGTGCAATGCTTCCAAACTTACCTATTGCTGTTTATCTATTTTCATTCTCTTCAAATTAATTTTATCATCAGTCCAGTGTTCTAGTTGCCCACCAACTCATGCACAATGACAATTTCTTTACAAACTAAAAACTTTCCTTCAGAAACAGACCCAAACCAATTTCAAACAATCCCTCTCAGCAGCAATCATAAACCACATTGTTCTGAATTTCACAAAGAGAGTTAAACAAATGAACTGCTCAAACCATCTACTTACAGAGTTGGTGGTAAGCCTCTCCACAATGCTGAGATGCCTTCATAGCGAGGAATTTTCATCAAAGCATCCTGGAATTTGAATAAACTGTTCTTAAATTAACAATCATTTCAGGTTATTTGAGTACACATTGTTGAACTGTGTACTCAACTGAAACAAAACTGTCATTCAATTCCATTTCAAGAATTATCAATCGAAAGTTCATCTGTATAATAGGAAAGGAGTAAATCACAATATATTCCTGGACACAAAAATCAAATTTAGGTGCTAAATTTACAGCAAATGTTGCCAATTTAGCGACCCATGTTCAACAATTATGAGAGCTCTGGAATTTTCTGTTCATATTCTCAAGTTAAGTGAGATAAAAAATGGTACAAAATGTTGTACCACTAATTTTTAGTGGTAGGAAGTGAGGAAAGTGTCTTTTTGGCAGTAAGAACTGTTGTAACCATTTTAAAGCTGGCATTTCATTAGAGGATTCCAAGGGTTTTCCAGGTACTTTCCTATAGGTTTATATCCTGACCACTTAATTTTGTTTCTAGAGACCTCTTTATCATTTTAGGTCACTATGTAGCTCATTTGGAAAAGCCTGAACTTAATATCTCGAAGTACCATGATCATGACAGTGACACTACCTCTGACTGCTAGTTTGAAGAAATAATCTTATTATGTAACATTAATAGGAGTACCAGTACATTTTAACGAAATCTTTTCATACATGTGCCTGGTGTAGTTTCACATAGTTATAATTCCAACCCACACATAATTAGCTGAAAAGGGGAAAAAACCACTGGAAGTGCAGACCTCTTTAGATTTATTATGGACAACATATTTTAATAACAGTAAAGTGCTGACATTCTCAGACTTACCAATGTTGAATCAAAAGGAGGATGAGGAGCATGAGGAAATGGATGGAAAGGGGATCCAAGATTGGCACATAAACACAGATGATCCATGAGACCATTACAGAACAGGTAACATGGAGCTGAAGGATTAAAACATGAAAATAAAACAGTTAGAGAGAAAAGATATGTGTATGTCATAGTTAAAACTGATTTTATACTAGTTTCAACACTTTGTTATTGTTGTTGTTGTTGCTTAACAATCAGGATGATGGATCTGGACTGAGAGGAAATAAAACGTGACCTACAACCCTGAAGATTACTACCATTTTGACCAGAATTTCATTTTAATCTGCAACATATACATTTACCAACATAGTCATTCAAAAAAAATTATGACATCACAGTTTTATGAAGATGCTGGGATCAATGTCAGTATCTTAGCAAATGTGCACCTACCTCTCCCCTAACCCATTATTAAGTTTAACATGTCACCAGTTGATCATTGAGCCAAAATGAAGATTGATTTTTTTTTTTGGTTTTAGAACAGTTTTCCTTCAATGTAAGCACAACATGAACTCTTGTACCACAGATAGCCATTTTCAATTATGATATCTTGAATCCATACGTATATACATATGGTTCCAATTTTTCTTTATATCTTTTAAATGTGTCATCTCTAATCAATCCTATATTTCAGATAATGAAAGAGTCCTGCACAAGGATTGGTTGTTGTTAAAGATATTAATTTCATCTTTCCCTTCTAACCAGCAAGTTGAGGACATTCAAAAATGCATGTGGCTACTAGTGTAGCACAATTTTTATAGCATTGAAAAGGACCAGAGGTTGTACAATGACAACAGAATGTAGTGTTGCAGAATATTTGTCCCACTTACAAAACAGAAAACCTGTGGCATTCCACATATTTATGAGTACCCTGTTCCACAAGAGAAATGTGATTCAAGAATATGTTGTGAAACTGACATTAAACAATACCCAAATGGTAGCAAATAATAATATCAACAAAAATAATAATGATAACTATAGTAAATAATAATAATTTAAGGGGCTGGCTAGAAAACCTTATGGTTCCCCAATCTTCTGGGCTCTAACAATAAATACCTAATAGTATGCTTACTTTAACTTTCTGCCAACACTGTGTGCAGACAACTAAGTGACCTTGGAAAGAAAATTGACTGTGTACTAGAATCAGTTTTCACAAGTAGGAAAATCTCCAAAATTTTAAAAGTCACAGAAACAAAGTCCTCACTGGTAAACAAACAATGCATTATGGATGAATTTTAATGTAATTTGTGTGATGTAAATTATAAAGGCTACATGAACCATCACCTCCACCTTCACATTAAGGAGCACAAATATTCCATCATTTATAAACATCTTGAGAACAAACACAATTGAAGACCGAACAATCTTCACGAGCAATTTTTCATCCTAAAGAAATGACACAGAAAGTTTGAGTGCCTTATTTGTGAGATGCTTTTAATAAGAAAAAGAGACTGACTCTGAACACTCAAAAAGACTCCATTCCAGTGAAACCGTTCATTTAATTATGTATATTCTTTTGTTTTACTCCACCTCATTTGATTCTAATTTAGTTCACACTTTCCTTTCTTTATGTCACTGAACTTAAAATAATTTTACATTTGATAATGGTGACACATTGTTGCTGAAATGTCATGTTTTAATTTCACTTCTTTTTATTATGAAATGTTTTCTAAATCTTTCATTATCCTTTAACTTTGCCTATAAGTTGTAAATGACTTTCTTATCCTATAGCAATTCCATTTCTTGAGACTTTTGTTTCATGCAAAAACACATTTCGTGTTTTATGATACTCATTTATTCTACATCTTAAGATATTCTGCCATTCCGTTATTCCTCAGTTCCATCATTCTATTGACTGACTAAAAGTATTGCATTTCCTAGCTTGCCCGCTTCACAAATTCAGTAGCTCTCTTCTCCAGAAGTCACTTATTCAAACTGTAAAATTCTCTCTCTTAAAATAAAAAAAAGACTTCTCAAAGCTTCCTTGATGTGCGGATCACATCTATTGAGATATTTCTGCAAGTAAAAAGTTTTGATTTCAATTACGCATTGCTAAATGCCACTGTGAAATCATTTTGAGATTGTCTTTCACAGTGTCAGGCAGGAACTGAAAAGATTATATCTTCCAATCTACATAATTTGCTGATTTAGATGGTTAAATGCTCTCAAATAAGATGGTAATAGTGAACAATGGTTCCCATTTTTGGCTGTTGATAACCTGTCGCTCAACTGTCAGCCAACAGGTTACCTACACATTACCGACAGTCAGCCGTCATTGATGTTTGATCTGCACTTCAAAGAGTAGGGATGTCATCCTGCTCAGAAATGAAAAAAAAACGGCTCCTTTAGGAGCCACCAACTTTGCAAAGTGAATGAACCAACAGGTCAAATAGTTCTAATAAAGACTTTCTGAAAAGGGTTTTGGAGGCAGTGTATTTAGGGGATTGGGAACTAGAAAAACTTTTCAATATAGCAGATAAATGAAATAAAACCAATTTGGGAAAGTTTCACCAGCCAAAACAAAAAAGTGGGCAAAAGCCATCGTAGCTATTGAGAGTACAGTGCAAGGTCTCTTTTTGAAATGACTTTTCTCCTTTTTATGTATTTTTAGAAGCAATATATAGGTAAACGTTTATGATCATTTCAGTTTACAACCGACAGACACGTTACCAACAGGATACTGACAGGTTGCCAACAGGTTGGTGACTGTTGGCTGACAGTCGGCAAAAACTTTGGCCTGAAACATAATGAAAACTGCTGGCCAACTGTGAGTCAACTGTCAACCAACTGTCAGTTTACAGTTGGCCAACAGTATCTTTCGGGAACTGTTCTTCACTTTTACTAATAAGACATAATGCTGATTTTTCTCCTTTCAATCTATTCAAAACATACATACTTTGCAGTTCATTAATTAGGCTTTAATATCTCATCATCATTGAGATTAAACTTTTAAATAATTGTTTCTTCTGTTATTATCATTAATGTTCTAGTAACTGGCAAAAGACAAATAGAAAAGAAGGCAAACCACAAGCAACAATAGCAGTCTCTGGCTGTAGCCCCAAGTACCCAAGTGCAGGAGAAGAATTGACTGCTGTTAATAACATTTATTAGCATCATCATCATTGTCAGTATCATTAATATTAACATTATCATTTTATTAGCATTATCATTGTAAATTAACAAAAGCCATTTCGTAAAGAACAATAAAATCACAAGACAACAAATTCTTACATTTTGGGATAGGCTTGAGCTGAGCTTGCAGTCTTGTTTTTACTACATCAAGAGGAGTCACTAAAAATAAACAACAACAAAAGACATGAAAATGTCGACGAAGTAATTGAGACACTTTGGATTTTAATCGTCTTAGGGAGGAAGGCGCAAGAGAGGCCATAGCAAAATGCAAAAGTCCCCCTTTCAATTACATCACTGGTAACGAGTATATGAAAGATGTGCACGTGTTAAAATCACCATCGAACAAGAAAGTAGTTAAGTTCAGGCGCAACACATACTTACACAAAACTTACATACCTGCCCTGCCCATACCCCTTTCCCACGCTCTTGGCTACTTGCACGTGATAAGTGAAATGCAATGTTACATCATGTCAATGAACTTTTTGAGAAAACGTGAAATTTGCCATGAAACTCTCCTTTTAACCCGCCCAAAACTGTTTCAGAAACGAGAAAAAAACTAAGAGATTACGAGGTAGTAGCCTCAAGTATCTAAAGGTTACCTTTGAGAACACTCGTTAGAAACTTACCAAAGAGACTGGTTATCAAAGCTCCGGACCCTGAAGATATCATCTGTTGGAATGGTGTTATTTTTCCGGAGCTTTGGGTGGAACTGCCCATAGTGACAGGTTTTTGAAGTGATTTCGTTTTAAAAACTTATATATTATTAATTTGAGTTGAAACAAACATGTCAATGCTAAGGAACGATATTTCGTTTTGCCGCACACCACGGGTGTTCTGTGAAATGCTGTCGGCCATGTTTATCCGTTACTTCTGAGACGAGGGATTTGGTACGACCGTTCTAGTGCCAGTCTCTTTTCGTGAAATCGGCTCATGGAAAGTTTTTCACTTCATTGCGTGACAGGAAGTCCTCTGAATAAACATGAAACGAGACGAAGTAGAGCCCAAGAGCCTTTCAGAATATCGATGAAGCAGGTGTTAAGTTCCTTGTTGAAAAGAAAAGCTAGAAGAAGACTGAAGATGTGGATTGATAGATTTATTCCCAAGTCTTCGTGATTACTCAGCTTCGCTTATGACCATAAGTGTTGCTATTTAGGATGCCTGAACAGATCCGAAAACTCTATCACTAAGTTTGTTGATCCGAACGGGCTGACCGTTAATAGGCTTTTTGAAGAGAGCAACTAAAAACAGCCACATAAGTTCCAATTTAATACTTAGGGAACAATAGAGTCGATTGTAAAACTGTGCTGTAAAGTTTCTTATATATTTAACTTTGAAAGCACAATTTTGTAAACAACTAATGATAACACAACAACAAGTCTATTATCTATCCGGATACGTTACGCAGATCCTGTCCAATCTCTAATCGTTCAGTAGAGCTGTAATCAGACAGTTGGCTATAATCAGACACCTGTAAAATCAGACTGTTGAAGTACTCAATCATACTAAGTCCACTCAGCCAAATCCACCAATTACAGAATTAAACACAACAACCATACCAACAGCTACTTATCCTAAATAAAAATTGAGGAATTTCCAACATGAAGAAATTTTTTTACTTTAGACATTGTCTCAACTGGAGATATTTGACCTAAATGAATTTTTTGTTTTTGGAAATTCAAACAGTTATGATTAATTAGTAACAGGATTCTTGTCGTCCAATTCTATTAGTAATCATACTTGTGATGGACAAATTGGACTCCTGCTTTGTGGTCATCCAATTTTGTGAATCTCTTGTATGATTACAGAGCAAATTGTTCTTCACTCAGTCCTATTACCATTATCAATTAAAAGGCTAGTGGAGAAAGAAACTATTTTTTTTATAAACTAATTTATATTACAACTTTCCCTTTTACCATGAAAAGATACATTTGATCCAGTAGTTACTAATTTCATTAACACTCGAGGATTATAACAAACTTATGCTACATATCGTAACATTATCTTAACAAGTGCATGAAGGACAAAACTGCTTCATACCCAAGAAACACAGTAGCCTGGATGCCAGGAGTAAGGCAGGCAGCCCTGTCAAGCTATGCAGTTTTAAAACATAACACCATTGTGGCTGAAAGACAGTTTTTGTGGGCAACATTTTGGAAATTCTTGAGAAGAAACAGAAACCAACAATATTGCCTAACTATTTGTGGTACACCACAACCAACTTTTTGTGATAAAAGGAAAGATCAGTGAAGTAGGTGGTACTAAAGAGGTAAACACAGCCAATGATGTGAAGGAGAAAACTGACCACTATATTAGTGATCCCACTGGAACAGTAAAAGTGACATCAAGGGAGAATTTCACTATCAGTGTTCAGGATGGCAAACATACATTTTCTCTACTTTCAGAGTTCAAGAAGAGTGTAAGTCAGAGAGATTGATGTTGAGTACACCCCTTGGTGACTGCAACATGTCAGAATCATCAGAATTTACCCCACCTATGGCTGAACCTCTTCAACTGCTAGATTGTTTCACAACCCCTAAGGCAAAGGTACAATGTAAATACTATTGGTATCACTTAGTTTGGAAAATACCTCTCCTGTTTACAGTGTAACTAGAAAATAGCTGATGGATGGTTTGCTTTCAATATCTTGAAGTGTCATTACTGCAGCCTTACCCAGAAAAGGAAAAAAGCAAAGAAAAGTGCTGCGTCCAAGCTTAAGAGTCACATGATGATAGTCAGTTTTATTACATTTTTCCATTAGGAAATTCTGGATATATCGAATATCCCATTTTTTGAAATATCTTGAGATGAGGCAGTTGTCATAGAAATTGTTGAATTTTCCATAATTAAAAAAGTCAGTTTTGAAAACAAACTAAAATAGTAAAAATTAAAGAGGTGCCTTTCCATGTTAAGACATGTGATGACCTCACCAGACTTTGAGCAATGTTGGATGGGGGTTGCTCAAGATCGAGGACAAAGTTAAGCAAAACAATGATGTTCTGTTTACTTTCTATTACAATCTACTGTTTAAGGGCCACAATTCTTGTGTCAGTTGTTGTGTTGTTATGTCACTTATAATAAGATAATTTGTTTTTATCAGCTGAGTTAATGATGTAAATTGGCCACTGTAAAGAGTTTCTAAAGCAGACATTTTAAGCACTCACCCTTTGCAATTAATAAACAGTTCACCTCGAGAGTGGAAAATGTTTGTAATTCTGTTCCTGTTTCCAGGAGACACTTTTATGCACTGCTGAAATTAGATTGTATTCAATTTTAATCAGCACATTCACTCTACAACCGAAAACCCTCAAAAAAACTTGTAAGCTGAATGCAACTTATACACTTCTTGTTCATTTTTAAAATGAAAAAAAAATAGAGACTGCACTTACAACATTGTTGTAACATCTTGCTTCAGATATGGAATAACGTTTTACTTGTTTTACGATCAAGTGTCTGCCATTTACATAAATGTGAGTAGGTGAGACATCATCTCGCGCTGGACACATGTACGCATTGTGGACCTATTTTCTCCTTGTGCCATCTCGTTACTGCGGCTTAGTAGGTCGTGCGGTGCCTCTGAAGTCAGCTTGCAGGCTATCGTTGACGAAAGTGGAAGAGTAAGTGGCTGCCATTTTGGACTCTCAAAGAAGAAGATTGGGGAAAAATAAATTCCGGGAGACGTTTGATAGCGAGAAGCTTTCGCTTGTCTTAAAGTGGGAAAGGGTTCCACTAGACTTAGAGATTTAGCTGTTTTCTCGCACCTTTACATCTAAATCCAGTAGGGGGTCTGTATTCATCTTGATGCGTTTTTTCGGCGTTAAGTTGAAAAAAAAAAAGTTAAACAACTTCTTTAAACTTTTTATAATAAAACTCCATCGATATTTTGAGTTCTGTAAATTTTTCTTTTTCAAGCCGGGACAGTCTTCAGGTTAACCGGTCAAGTCGCCCGAAGTGAAACATGTTTGAGTAACACCAGAAGCGTTGTTCGTTTCTAACAAAGAAGTGAAGCGTTGTTTGTTTGGTATCATGCAGTAGATCTTTAAATTACTTAAGCAGAAATCCATGAGTGGGTGTTATGGTCTGCCACTTAATTTCTGGAAAATTGAAGTCGCCAACTAAATAACTGTTATAAAATTTTTTTAGTTCAATTTATTTACACATTATTGCATTCTTGAAGTGTAGCATCTGTTTGTCTTTAACAAACTCCAACTAAAATACTTTCTTTGATTCTCTGGCATATTTTTTTTAAGTCAATTCTCGTCGAACTACAGAAATAACCCAATTTAGTATGTCTCTTAGGTGGATAAAGTACTCTTCTAAATAAATACCCTTCAACACTAGAATCCAATCAAATTCAGTTCAGTAGGTGAAACAACGGGAAACTGACTTTCTAAAAGCAAGATCTGTTGATCAAGGACTTTGTTCCTCGTACTACTAGCTCTTTTAGGGGCAATGCAGAAAGTTTGCCGACTTATCCTTGCTACAGGTCTCGATCTATGCAGAAAGCTCAGAGCCAGTTCAGTCTGCAAGCGGTTTTCTGCTGAACGTTCAAAAAAGTCAGGCAGTTGAGGTAGAGCACAGTCAGAGCAGATCCATTATTCCATAAAAGATGCCTTCTTCGGGAAGAGACTCGCACCCGATTTCAATGCGATAGGCTGATGCCAATGAAGCAGTTCACATACTTATAAGCCAGTTTCCGCCGAACTACCTTAAGCCTTTTGTTTAGTAATACGTTTAGTAGCCTTGGTCACACAGAACCTTTCCCGTAAAGTTCAGGAAGATCTGATGGTCACTTTCGAGGCTTTTCTTTTTCTATTTTGTGTGTTTTAATAGTTCCGTTTTTACTCTATAGTGTTTTTCTATACTTTTTGACGAATGCTATTTCCATAGCAACGATGGTTAAAGCTCGGAATGCCTTCCTTTTTGAAGGGAGAGCGACAGTTCATATCGCACATTTTCCACAAGGGAAGGTCTTGTTCTTCACTTTTTACCCTCGATCCCTTTGAGTTTCATAACCATCGAATGGAACCAAGTCGCCTTTTACCCGGCCCCGAAATAATTTGGGTCGACCAGCTTTATGATTAATTTCATATCATTGTTTCGTCAACAAATTTCGGGTTATGAAATAAGATTTTTATCTGATATTAAAGCTGAAACTTTCTATTCATTTGTTTCCTTGTTGTCTTTGTTTCACCAAAAAGTGCCATGCTCAGGGAATGCAATTTTGTGAAATAAATCTAGCGACTAGCGTTAAGCGATTTTCATTAATTAGTTTCATTCGCTTCCTTCTTGCTGTGACTTTTCACCCTTACCCTCCCCACCCTCAAACAACGAACTCAGCGGCTAAAGTTTTGATTGGCGGGATTAAATGACGTGCCTGTTTTCCACCAATCGATTTCCCGGCGAGAATGAGAAGATTTCTAGAGTCTTGTATTATGGAGAAGTAATGGCGTTTTCCGCCCAGACAGACCATGGGCAAAATGAACATAAAGACGCAGTTTTGTGCGAAATTGGCAAAGAAACATCGAAAGATAACACGAAGGTTTGTGTTAGCATCGTAGGTTTCATGACTGTCCCATTGATGCAGCTGGAAGCTGTTTTTTTATGCAAACTACGAGGGAGCCATTGTGCCACTCTCGCTAAGAGCGTTAACATACAGAAAATTTGGCTTTTTTTCTCTTTTTGTGTTTTTCTTTCTTCATGCCCTTTTTAGAATTGCACAATTTCTTGAGTATTAATTCTAGTTCTCACACCTTTTTCGGAATTGTTACCAGTTTGTCCCGAACCCCGCTGCCAAGCCGTTTGTACCTTCCAACTTGAATTCAACATTGGGTCGCTCAAACAGGACATGGGCAACTATCGAAGGACAACATTCTAGGGTAAGTACAAGGTATTTATTTTATTAGATATTCGGAGATGAAATTCGTTTTTGCAAGAAAACACAACTGTTCCTAGTTACATGATTTGAGTAGTGAAGCGTCTACTTTCGGGTCACAATGTAAGCTGAGCTAATGCCGCTCGGCTCCGTTCCGGGTCGGTGTTTGTAAAGAAGCAAGTAGCGGCGCATGAACGATCTAATGCTCCCCGAATTTCACGAGATGAAAGATTTTGAAGATTACGGTTTCTTTATGCTATTGCCCACTTCGACATGATCATCAGCTATATTTTCGAAAATGTAGTCCTTGGAGACAGCAGTCAACTGAGTTCTTACAATTTCGAAACTCAGCAAGCGTTTGCCAACGCAAGATCTGTTCGATAGCAGCCTTCAAGTTTTCTTACCCATCGGTTTGCCGTTTTCTCGTTGTAGGGAACTTCTTTTTTGACGTAAATAACGACGTTATTACTCTTTGTGATGAAGTTATTTATTTGACGAAAAAAAAATGTATGGTTTACTTGTTTTTGTGGGCTGTTGGTTCAGTGTGGATTTGCCCTGAGACATATTTTTTTTCTCCAATTCGATTCACCCGGCGTAACGATATATTTCAAAAACCGAATTTTTGATATTTATGGAAATAAAAATCATACTCATCGTGAAGTTAGTTCCGACCGGATTTTAGCCATAATTTTACGTAATATACGTTCCGTGTTCTGTTGGTCATTGCTATTCTAATTATAGATTCGGTGAATCTGAAGGCGAGAGATCTATTTGTAAAAATAGTTTCGTCTGAACAATTCCTATTTTGGACTACATCGTCAAAGTTTTAAATCGATGATGGCAAATCCCTATTATTTTCTAATCTTTTTTTGTGGTATCTGGAGTTCAGCTGTTATACCTTCGAAGTCTGTCAATTTACTCAAGTGCATCTAAAGGCTGTCGTATATTTCAACGAATTTCTTCTTCTTTAGAGGCTTATTTCCCTTGGTGGGGGAGTTTTCAGAAGTGATCTTGCCCTTCTTGGATTTGTTCTCTTGGACTTGTTTGAGTCAAATGGCAATCACTTTTGTAGATTTACTTATTAACAGGCTCCCTCGTCATAACAACTTTTATGATATTGCTGGTGCTCATGGTTGATGTGAAGTGTGCCCTTATTGGCTTGGTGTTAGGGCATTATTCTCCAGCTATACCCACAGGCCACAAAACCAATGATAAATAATGGTAATAGGACCAAGTGGAGTCCAATTGAGCCTGTAATCATACAAGGGATTAACAAAATTAGACTAGTGTAAAGGGGAAGTCCAATTTGTCAAGCACAAGTATGATTACAGTCAGAATTGGAGGACAAGAAGTCCTCTTACTTATTAATCATAAACATTACTGTTTCCGAAAAATACTAAATACATTTAGGTCAGATATCTTCGGTTGAGACAGTGTCAAAGGAAAACGAATTTCTCCATTTGGGAAATTCCTAAGCTTTTTTTGGTTAGGATAAGTGGTTGTTGCTATGGTTATTGTGGTTAATTCTGTGATTGGTGGATTTGGCTGAGTAGTCTTAGTATGATTGGTTACTTCAACTGCCCAATTACAAGTGTCTGATTACAGTCAACTGTCTAATTACACTATGCTCACTTATGCTTTACTCTGATGTAGGGCTGATGCTTGAAACATCAGCTTTACAACTCTTTCTGTGGCCAATACTTAATTACCTTGCACAATTACACTTTCCAATTACAATTGTACAGAATGAGTTGTGAAAAACAAAGCAGATAATGCACCAACCACATATCAAGAAATTGTAATGGTTAAGATTATTCAAGAAATAACTTCTTGTGGAAATTCAAACATGTGAAGATGATAAGGGCCATTAAACACTACAAAAGAGAAGATTTTTTCAACAACTATACCAACAACTAAAATTTTAGGAATAACAGGAATAATTGAGTCTGAGTCATTTCAAGTTTCTAGCTGCAAGGTTCCAAAGGCAAATCCCATTTCAAAATTCTATTGATTAAGGAATTCACACTTTCTCTCATGTCTCCCTACTCAACACAAGTTAACATACCCCTTCGCGGTTTTTTTTTCTTCTTTTTTTGTGGGTTAATGTAATGGGCTAGGTGCAAAAGCATTCAAAGTTTGTAGTCAGATAAATCACCAAGTAAAAGCATCAGCAAATCTAACAAACACCTCCAACTGAACACCACAGGAAGGTCGTAATTTCTTTGATTCTGAACCAGTTGTCAAGGATTTCATATGACAGTTTGTGTTGGATATCAATAAATTCTCTAGCTATATGATTGATACAGTGGTAGTGCCATTTGGCTTTGTGTTGTGCCAGGATCAGGAAATTATCAATCAGGAAGAATTTTAGTGGTAGTGTTTCTTTTTCCTATCTGTGATCTGGTTGATAAGGATGACAATTCTAGCCCCTCAAACAGACCACTACCTTTTAAAGGGGTAAATTTCTAAAGAAACTGTGGTGTTGCGTCGGTGAGAGAGTATAGCAGGTAATTAAGTGTTAACAACTGAGTTGAAAATGTAAATTAGCCATCATAAAGGGTAAAAAACTGACGTTTTGAGCGTTAGCCCTTTGTCTATTGCTCTGACGAAGGGCTAACACTCCTTTACGGTGGCTAATTTACGTTTTCAACTCAGTTGTTAACACTAAATTACCAGCATTACCTTTTAAAAAAGTCAACAATTAGTCACCAAAGTGGATGTGACCAGTGGTGGATATTTTTTAAATAACTACTGCTAGCCACCGACTCCGAGATGAATAGTTGTATTATTATATACTAAATGTTACATGTAGAAAGTGATTGCAGCATGTTGCAAATGGTAATTTGTTCAATGAAATAATGCCAACTTCGTGTTGCATTTTTTCAACTGGTTTCATGACTTATTATCAATGCTTTATTTCAGATACAGTACAAGTAGGATTTCACAATTACCATAATTGATTCAAACTAAGGTTGAGAAATCCAACTGTTTTTGCCTCCTATAGGTTTTTAATCTTGGTGGAAATATTACCAGTTTGAAGGCTGCAAGGCATAATGTGATTGTCCCACAGCCCTACATGAATGGTCCACATAGTATAGATCATGCTAACAGCTGTGGAATCCCTCCAGAAGAACCCAGGACACCTACAACCCCTCAATCTAACAACCACATAGCTTTTCACCTTGTTTCTAAAGTTCTTGAGGATGAAAGCATTTTTAATTTTTCAAGCATTGAGGAAGCAAATCCAGGTGTAGAGCCATTCTCACCTCTTTCTCTGATACATCCTGATAGGTATGGTAATCCTTAGAAGTTTTTGTGCGTGATAGTATCCTTAAGTGTGCCTGACCTACATGGATCACAAGTGACTAAATACGGGGTTGCAGAGGAAGCTTTCAACAACAAATCACATGCCTGTTTTTTCTCAATTCCTTTTTCACATGCACTTTGTAAGTCTTCTCCATGAACATTTTTTTGGTTGCATGGAATGAAAGCAGGCAATCCCCATCTTGCCTGCTTGGGTAGCCAGTTACTGTAATTACCGGTTGTTTACCCGCGGGTAATCTGTTGATTTTGCATTAAACATGCGCCACTGCAGGTAATAGGGAGGTGCGGGTTATGTGACAATTTTAAAATCTAGTGGTAGTTGAATTGAAAAAAATTATCACCACCATGCATTCCCACCTCTCAAATGAGTTTTATTGTATTAAGAGTGCCACAAAGCGGCACAAAAACATGATGCTGACTTGAGTTTATTTCACGCATAATTAGTTGCGGGACGAACAAATTGTTATCAGCTCGCGTGAAAACAAAACCTTGATGGTGACAAAAATAATCCAAAGATATTTGGCACATCAGTAACAAAATTTCCATTTAACACTAGCTTGAGCTAAAGAGAATTCTCCCGTTTTAAGGGACTTGTTAGGCCCAATAGAACCGGAGATATCGATTTTTTTCAGAAATCGCCAACAGTACCTTATAATTCAAGTTTTAATACTCACCCAGTTTTTTTTTCAACAAATCAACATGACGCTGAACGATCGCTCGCACAAAATGTGGCCTCAAATTCGCATTCTGTCAAGTATGAAACGTTGAGATTTGGGCATGGGCCACTTGTGTTTTTACAGTATAATCTTATCAATAAAGTACATGCCAATATTGACACAGAATTGTGCACGTGTCTGAATTTCTTTGACCTTTAAACTCAACAAAGACACTTTCAAGTTTTCGAAAGTTGGATCAGACAACTTTTAAAAGACTGAAATGTATCACCTTAATGTCACGTTTTCACCACCAAAAAGTTGAATAACATAATGTGCGGGTTATCCACCAGTGCGGGCAATCTGTTGACTTTTTTTTTCGCTGTATGCAATAATCAGCTGGTGCGGGTAATCGGCCGTGTGGGTAAACGACCGGAAATTACGGTATATCTGTTACAGATTCCCAGGATTCCCTTATCTCAAAATCACACAATATGGGTTTGGTTATGGGTTTGAGTATTCCAGCTCAAGTTTTGTTTGTTTGTTTCAGTTTTGATGGCACATCTCATTCATGGCCCTTTTCAGCTGTACCCAATGGTACCATTCCAGTTCCTGCATCAACATCCAATCACAGTAATGCAGCAGCTAGAAACTTTGGTTCTTTTCCTGGTCAAACTATCTGGTCATCAGAAGTGATTGCCCATAGCACCCCACCTTTGTCACCAGTTGATTTGTCCCCACCCTCAAGTTTAACAAATTCTTCACTGGGAACTACCCCTCCATTTCCCTCAACCCCATTAATTCCTGCAAGTTCTCTGACCAATTCATCAGGCAGTACATCACCTACTGTGAATGGTTATAATGACGAACTCTCTCCCTTCCCATCCCCAACTGGGCAGCAGTTTGGTTCACAAGACACCTTGCCAACTATGTTCATGCCAATTAAAGATGCATCTACAGGAGGCAAGGGATGGAACTCTTCAGAATCTGGTTACTATTCAAGTAATGGCTCCAGTCGTCGTTCTCAACCATCTCCAAGCTCAGCCCCTGGACTAGCACAATTTGTTTCTTCTCCTAAGACACGCCCACAGTCTCTAAATTTAACAAATGGCCACCATTACTGTAGTTCACCCAGTATGTCCCCTTCTTCACCACCAGGACCAGTTCATAGCCACTCAGCTCCAAAGCATTTTAGTTCAAGTTATGATGTGAATGGAGGGTCATGGCTCAAACATACATCAGGCAGAGAGCATATTCCTCCAAGCTCTTTGCCAAGGGATGCAAATGGACATTCTGGAGGTCATGTGATTTTGCATCGTACTAAGAGTCCACTGACAAGTGAGCTGCACTATAGACTTGAAGAGTGTTATGAACAATTGCGGTGTCTAGAGAAAGAGCGAAAAAAGGTACTTGTTTGTGTGAGCTTTCACCTAATGGTTCTCCTTTTGGGTATTTTGTGACATGTTAAAGGCTGTATTCAGTGTAATTTTTTTAAATGTAAAGTCATGTTTATCACTTCAGTCTGTCACTCATCTTTATTTTAGATTATAGTTAGGCATTTCAAGATTTGTGCACATAAGATAATTATTCATTTTGCTTTAACTGTAACTGAAATGTTCTTTTTGTCTGTGTAGGCAGAGGCTGAAATCTCACACCTATGGTCAGGGCGAAGACTCTCATCTGGAAATGCAACAAATGTTAGACCTCCCCCTAATCCATCTAGAGTGGACAAGCTAATTGTGGATCATTTGCGAGAACATGCAAAGGTATTTGTACATATTTCAGCAGTCATTTGTTAAAGGGAAAGTGACTGCTGTGTAATTGATTTCCCTAAAAGAACATTGTTCAGATTTACCAGTGTCCAAAAGAGGAGCCCTGAATCTTTTTCTTTATTCCTGTGCTATCAGTCAAGGAACTTCACCCTATTAGAGAGGGCTAGTACCAGGTTGGTGGCATGAAAACCCCTTATGATGGGAACTTTTCACCTTTAAACCTTTGTTTGAAGACATCAGCAATAAAAAGTTACATTGAATGGGTGGAAGGCATCTCAAAATTTGGAAAGTATCCCTTCAAGTGTTAAAATAAAGTTTCAGAAGCGTTCTTGCAGCCTATAAGATTAAGGCAAATTTGAGGAATTAGTAATTATGAGTCTCACTTCAGCTTATAACAAACAATTCCTCAAGATAATGACTCTGGTGATTCAACTTGCTGAAACAGTCTTTTTTTAAGACTAATCTCGACACAATGATCAGAGTAGATGATCAACTAGTACCAAAGTGGAGATATTATCTCTGTAGACAGTCAAAGCAGGAGATTGAAAGATGACTCCTGTCCATTTTGGTTTATTTTGGTTGTAGCATGATAGTTGTAAAGGGTGTTTTTGCTCTGTTTCTTTCTGTGAATCTCCTTTAGCATGTGACAAGCTTCCCATTACTCCTGTTGGGAACATGTTTACTTCAACCATGTGCTATCTGGTTCCAAGACCAGGAGACTATGTTTTGTTACAACTCACTGAATTTTGCAAATATATTTACAGTACCAATTAACAAAAAAGAAAAAACTTCGCTTTTGGTAAAATATGGCTTCAATCTAAACTAAAATCACTGTATCACCAACACTTTCTAGTTGTGATACATTTGCTTTCTTACCTGTTTGGTTCATGTATGTTTTTGCAATTTTTAAGGTTGAAAGGTTGGGTGGTGTGATATCACTACTAAGGTAATTATTTAAAATGGCAGCATTTTGGCCACTTGGAAGTGGATTTTCATTAGGATTGGAGCAACTTTTTCTTCCACATTCAAAACATGTGGCTGCATACTGAAAAGGTCTCTTGCACAATACAGTGCACAGAAGTATGTTATTAACCATGGCTTACCTTGTAATAGGAGACCATTCGCAACACATAAAAGTCTTAAGATCATACAAATTAATTGACCAATGTCCTCTTAAGTTTACTGATTAAACCTATTTTATCAAGAGTTCACTGCTTAACTGGCTTCTTTATTGCTGTTTAGTGACAATAGCTTGACCCCCTTGACACCCTCTTATATCCTTTCAGCAAGAGGGAAATCCCTCCTTTATAATTACTAAAGCAGATGCTAATTATTTCATTACATACATATTTGTGTACATATGTATATATTTGGGATTTTAAGCAAGAATGATGCCCATTAGTAAAGAAATATTATATGCTGTTTAATTGTATTTCTGTAATGTGCGAATTGTTATGTAAATGCTATTTAGGTTGAAGCCTTAGTTGGACGAATTGAACGCATTCGTCACTCTCCTCTCCATGTCAGCATTAGTGAGGGAGTTGATCTGTGGCACAATGGAATTCGTGAATTGCAGAATCGTAGGAGGGAGGAACTTAGTAGCAGTAATTGCTCAAGAAGTAGGCTGAATGGTTCTCTGCGGAATCAAGATATTACAGGTATTGTCAGTTTAATTCCTTCAAGAAAGACTTCAAAACTCTGAAGTTAAACAAGAAAGGGACTGTTAGCCAGGAAGACCCACTGATGAAATTTTTAAGGGGAATCTAGTACATTCTTTATCTAGTATGGAGGTAGACAATATCACTGAGCAGATTGGAGACCGAAGTGTTCTGAACAAGCCACTTAATTAAAAAAAAGCCATTAAAAATTAAAAGCAAAAACACAAACATTGGACTCTGAATAAATAGTATCAGTGAAATCTCTCTAGGAACAGGTTACCGCAAATTTTCCCCCAAAAATGCAATCTTGAAAACTTCAGGGTAGGCAATTGGTAACAACGTCAAGGCTAGTACAACTACAGAATAACTACATGCAAATAGCCTTTAACTGTGAACAAATAGGATTGGTACTAATGGTATTCCCATCCATTTTTACATAGCTGTATGGAATGAGCCAGTGTGTTAAATCTGTGTACAGTAATTTACATCAACTGTTTGTGGATGGAAGATCAGAATTAGCTTGTTTGAGTTTGTTATCTGTTATCCTAGTGTCTTATGCTTAAAAAAAACCTGACTCACTCGTGTTTCTATGATAAGCCATATACAAGCTTGTATCCAAGTTAGCTTTTTTTACTGCAGTTGTTGACCCACATCATAAATATGTAATGATAAGCATCATGATTTTTCTCATTTATTTCTGTTTATTTATGTATTTGTTTGTTTGTTTTAATCCTTCACAGAACTCTCAGCCTTAATATCAGCTGTGAAGACACTGACACAAAACACACGTGCAACCCGTACAATCATTTGGTGTGCTAATCAGCTTGTCATTGATGATACTGCAGTTAATGACAACACTTCAAATGATGTGGACAACACAGTTGCGATATCCAAGGAAGTCATTGTGGATGTGTCTTGACAGATTGCTCATACATTTAGATGGTTTCATCCCCCAACTATACTTGAAGTGCGTCACATAATTGGAAATGAATTCCAGTGGCATAAATTGGTTCAGTGCTACTGAGTATCATCAACCTTCCAACATTGTGGAGAAAATCTGGTAGATCTAACCTCAACACAAGACCCCTGACCTTTGCATTGAAAAAAGGTGACAAGTTTGCAATCAATTATAAATTGAACTGAATCAAGGTGCATTATGGGAACAGTAATCTGGTAATAGAGAAATTCTGCTTGGCAATGGTGCTTCAGGTTTTTTCCTTTGGGTTTCCAAGCAACATGTACTTAGTTGTAAGAATGACTGAAGCAGGAGTCAAAGGAGGAAAGAATTTTTTATATGGCAAAGCAAGTGAACCTTGCAGTGTAAAGTACTGCCTAACTAATTGGATTTTAAGTGTTTTTCCACATTTATGGTTCAAGAAATGCGTTGAGGCTAGCAAGATAAAGGCATCAATTATGTCTATCGATCATTTTGAGAAAGAATTGGCAAAGAACACTGAGGGTGTTGGAATGGTTGATATTGAATACAATTATGAATGTAACTTCCCACACTTTGCTTCAGTGTGTCAGTGTTGCTAGGCAACAGACATTTTATAGCAGAAGATTGTACTTATTCAGGCAACTGATATTTTTCTTCTTTCATGCATTCCATTCATGCACCAGAATGTTCCAACAAATAAGTCACAGTTGTGCAATGGGTTGGGGAAGGTGAAAAGGAGTCTTGGCAGGCCAAGTGTTTCTTACTAGTGAATAAATGAAAGGAAACATGGCAGACAGAACATTTTGAATAATTTGTGCAACTTTGTGTTGCTCTAAGCAGAGTTCACTTATTTGTGTCCTAAGAAGACTAATGAAATTTTCTCATTAATCACCAACTTCCCTGGTAACTCTACTCATGTCATCCATCATTAATGAAACAAATCAGGTTAATCATTTCTGATAATTATTCTGCACACTTAGTTTCTGGTGATAAATAATTAATCTCATTGAAGATTGGCAAATAAGTGCAGCTTAACATATTGTTACATCCATGACAAGTGTTCATCAATTTGCAGTCCAGCTCTTGAAGCACTTTCTGACTGTAGATAAGTCTGCAACAAGAATAGCATGTGTAACCACCAACGTGACAGGAGGCAGTGCTTGTATGGAGAAAATTCTAAGCCAGTTCATATTGCTTTACTGCTGAATACATCCAGACATCTTCCAATGGAAATGTTCCAAAAATAAAAGCGCATTATTTCGTTGAATTGTTTGTTGCTGTTTAGCTATGTTCAAGTATGTTCAAGTCTTGATGCTGTTTGTTTATTTGTTAGGAGTATAAACCTTCAACTTGAACATTTTCCATCTTTTTGCCTTTTCTTTTTAAAGGCCTGTTACATACTATTTGGCAATCTCCATCACTTGGCCTTCAAATTAGATGAAGCCAATTGGACTCTATCTAGGAAAACTTCAGAAAAACTTAACCTTACTTTCCCAATTTTCTTTTAGTTGCTAATAATGCACAGGAGTCATCCATGTCTGGTTTATGGCTTTAAGCCTGTAACTATAGAAGTAAACTTGTTTCATAGTCAGTTTGACTTTGTACATGACTGAACATGATGATGTGGGTTAAAAATAATTTTAAAAAAACCTGGTAATTTGGTACTATCAACTAGTTGATAATGTAAATTGGCCACTGTTAAGAGTTTAAAATCTGATGTTCCCAAACATAAGCTTACGATTGGAATTCAGCTTTGAAACTCTTAACACTGGCCGAATTATGCTAGTAACCCAGTTGATAACACCAATTTATCTAGTTATACTCCACCCCTGACACAGCACCATAGTTTCTTTAGAAACTCACTCCCTTATTAAAAAAAGACCACTCTTGGTCATTGAAAGAGGTATGTTATTTGTGCAAATCAGATTTATTGGGTTATCTTGCTGGCACCAATTAGATCAGTTAGGGCTTGTTGCTTGCATCAATTAGGCCCTGGATGTTTGAAGGGTGGATAATGCTACCCGCTGAACAAATTTGTGTCTGGAGGATAGCATAGTACATTTCGCAATTACTTAACTGATGGAGAGCATTATCTGCACTCTTTACAACTGGGCCCAGATTTATAAAGGTATGATGCTTGTACTAGTTTTCTACAGGGTTTGTTGCTAACACCATTCACAATGCACCCTTGAGGTGTTTTGCAGTTTTCTTGTCATTGGTGTTGTGTAGTAAATCAAGATTCTAAAGTCTTTTTTGAGTAGCATGCTATCACATACAGGATATGGTTTAATTTGCTGTGCAGTTGCTCACTAAGGTTACAAAACTTGGTTTGTCACATTTACCTTCTGCTTAAACCTCTTGTGTGTGGCAATATTTTCTTTGTTTTTTTAAGTTTTCCATGTGTTCACTTGGCTGTATTGGGTAATCCCTCATGAAAAGTAGGTCATTACTTGTCATATGCAGTGGTATGCGAAAGCAATTGAAGTAATATTCTCATTCTACATTAAAAGTAATTTCACTTAATCAGAGTTGAGAATCTAAAACATGCTCTTGGTCAAGGTACATCAAGGATAAATTGGACTTATGACTTTTTTGTACATGTGCCAAACCATTTTGTGTGGTGTTAAATTAACTTAGATTAGAGACGTTTTTCTCCAAAATGGCCTTTTGAACACACCCCATGATTCCATGAAATTCCACAAATTCCATTACACCAAGTGAAATATTTTGTTTCTCCCACATTATTAGTAGAATCATAAAGCACGTGAAAATTTCAAGTCATTGCCATAAGTCTGTCATAAGATATTTTATTCCCAAAATTTGCAAAAATTCACCAAATTAGCCTCTGGTACCACCTTAATTCATATGGTTTCTTAACTGCATAGTTCAAGGATAAATTTTTAAGACACCCAGAACTTCTGAATTGTAGGTTTCAAAATTCAAACACTAAACCTGGTAGTTAAAATGTACTTCACTTATTTCTATTACACATGGTCTGTCCTGGTACCATCATTTTATTTACCTTGCATTAAAAGTTACACAGAATTGCAAATGAATCAAACTTAGCTTTCTAACAACTGAAAATAGTGCAACAATCAATTTCAGAGAAACTGATTTATTAGTTGAATATTTTAACCCCTTCTCATAATTGTGTTGGGTAATCAAGTTCCTAGTAAGTGGTAAAGCTGGAATTTGGTGATAAAATTAAAACACTACAATGTAAAATAAAAAATTAAGGAAGTAGCACTGGCTGTCAAAAATATGCAAGTATGCTAACTATCTGCCCTGCCATCATGTTCACATTAGAAGCTCCATCACTCTAGTAAAAAGGGGAATGACAAATTTTCCCCATGAGCTTATATCAGTAACTGTAATGTTCCTAGTCAATGGTTTTTTTTTCATCAGGTTGAACATTTTGGGTAATAAAATCAAGAATTAGGTGCACTGCAATTGTTTATCATAGAACTTAAAGTATAGCTCCTACTAATAAGTAACTGTAGTTCCCACTTTTGTTGCTTAAATTCGTTTATTGTAAACAATATAGATGTAAACTTGTCTTTGAACTGTTTAAAAATAAACCACTGACCATGTCTCCTACAGCTTAGATAGGAGGACATCTGAATCAAAAAACACTACAGTAACAGTAATATCATCTCTCCACATACGTCTATATTGCTCTGGAACCAATAACATCTGAGCTACATAGCCATGGTCATTACCACCCAAGGCATGACGAATGAGATGAGTAGCTGCATTTTGTTCCAGAACTTCATCCCCTGCATCTTTGATGTCAGTGGGAGCTACAGCAATCTCTTTATCTTTCCTATCCTGCTGAAGAAAACTGGCAACCAAGCCAACAGCTTGCTCATCGCTAAGAACATCCCACAAGCCATCTGTGGCAAGGATAAGGAATTTATCATGGGGTTGTAAACGGTGATGTGTAACAACAGGTCTTGCTGTGAGGTAAGGTGGAGTTATGTACATATTTGGTGGAACAATAGGACCCCCATACACCTGTGTGAGAACATGGGAATGGGTTACTTTATCCCACTTGTATTGAATGTCACCAAATGATCTTAGTGGCTGTAGTTGTCCAAGGAGACGCTTGTTCTTTATGACAAAGGCTTCACCAGGGTGCTCTAACCTAAGTCTCTCTACTTCATCATCATTCTCAGCTGTTTGATCAACAGAGAGTGGAGTAGCCAGCCAAGAGCCATCCCCTTTTGTACTTCCAAGAACAGCTCTACAATCACCTGGAATACAAATTTTAAAAAATGAATCAATCACTTATTTTAAAATACAGTGACAGTTTCTCATCCCAACAAGATAAAATTGCATAGTATATGTAAACAATCAACACATATAATCGTTTTTTAGACCAACAAATAATCTCTAGGAATTTTGATAGACTACCTTCAGAGTGTCCCATGGCGTTGACTTTTCAAAGAGGATATGTAGCCAGGGAGCAGTCATTATTTACATAGAGTGGGGGAGGGAAAAGTATATTAGAAATATAAAAATTTCTATGAGCTCTCCCCCCTCCAGGCAATGAAAATAGCAAATGACCCCCTTCTTTATTCAATATTTAATTGATGATCCCTTGTCACCTCATATCTCCTCTTATATATACCTAGTAATTATCAAAATTCATGTCACAAACAATCATAAGATGATTACTTTGCATAACACCCACCTTGGGCAATGGATCGCTCTTAAAGTGTACTTAAAACTGCTGATCCTCCCTAAACTTCTTTATTAAGAGTTTTGTCCCCCTCTTGCCAATCTGAAATAGCCTTGACCACCCTTCCTTTTCTTTCTTCCCTTCCCCCACTTTACATAAACAATGGCCAGTCCCTTTATTTAGTAAAATGACCTTACAACAGATATCCCCATTACCATGTTACTGCTGTAATCCTCCCAGCATTACATAAATATCAGTAAAATGCAATGAAAAGACTGCTTTACTCTACATAGCTGATCATGTGTTACTGTCTACACACATACCTGTGTTTGCCACATAGATGTTTTGTCCCTCAATATAAGATACTAACGCACAAGCCCCTGAAGCTCCAGCAACAAAGGAGTCGTCAAGAACTTTTACTGGTATGGCTTCAGTAGAAATATCGTCATCTAGTTGTGTAAAAGCCAAACTAAGGGATTCCTGAGTAGGCATTCGACCTTCAAAAGGCTTCCCTATCAAGGTTTTGATAAAGTACTTTGGTCCTGTTTGAAAAACTTCTTGTTTTTGACTTAAAGTATAACCAAAATTGCTCTGAGATGTGCTTTCCATTGCTGGTAACCTGTCCTGTAAAATTTTAACAAAATCATCCCCTGAGAAACCTTTCGAGAGATTTCTCTCCAAGATGGTCAAATCAGATTTTGCAAGGAAAGATACAGCAAGATAGAGAGGTAAACGATTTTTAACCATTTCTGCACACTGCCAGCCACCGTGCCCATCGAATACACCAAAGGTTGTACCGTTTGTTTTCAATAACAGCCATTCGTTGGCCCGATCTTCACACGGAGAATTGGAAGCGAAACTGTTTGTTTCAAAGTGAGATACTACTCCAATATTCACATTCACGCTTTTTTCATTCTTTCGCAAAATTTCACTGGCCTCTTTAGGACTTATTGGAGGTTTCTCTGAACCTTTAGGGCCCTGTACAAAATTATGGATCCATTTCTGCAAAAGGTCTCGTAATCCAACGGAGCTTGACGCATCTTCTTCTCCGCTGCCAGCACGAACCGTTAGGGACCTGTTGAAACCAAACGTGTACATGGAGCCAAAGAAAGCGGCTGTTGCGCCGAATACTGGCCATTTCCATTTACTCAAGGTTCCAAAAAATTCTGCTCTGTTCATTAGGGACATGGGACGATATTTAAGATTCTTAGAACAAACTAAACGAGAAAATCAACCACACCATCACGTGTTAGTGGTCGTCCCGTCTGACCGCCATAGCAGTATGTCATGATGGAGCTATGATGGATGTTTCGCAGTTAGGATCCAGACTCTCTGAGGTGTTGCTCTACACCCTGGAAACGAGGTAAACCCCGCCCTCTACTCCGCCCTGTTTCCCGCCCTCGGACTCAATTGCTTCCGGACCGTCTCGTAACTCAATGGTCAGGGTCCATGTCAATTTTAAATTCTAAGAGAGCACTTTCCCATGACATCCTGTTTTCAGGCAGGTTTTAAGTGACCCCTTCGCATAACTATGACTGAATTCCTGAACCAGTATCTTTGATGAAAGAGTTTCTGCTCCCACTCAACTAAATTCACAAAGCTCCTCAAATCATGAATTGTTACCGTACCTGAATCAATACTAAATAGCCCCACAAAGCTTCAGGGGAAAGAGGTCAGAATTTATTCTGACAAGTGCTCGTTACCCTGACTGAAATCGGCGATTTGTAATCCTTGGGTATTCATGTGATTACCACGGAAGAATATAAATGATCACATATTTAATTAGCGGAAACAAGTACGCAGCAAAAGACCTTTAGATGCGACTTAACAAATTTGATATTTAAGTGCTACAAATATTCCTCTGAGTAAGAAAAAGTATTATCAAAGTGTGAATTGTGTAGCATTTATGCACATAGCTGGGTCTCAAATGAACAAGAGAATTCATATAATAATTGGAAATTTTTCCTTTCTCTCGGCCAAGGACGTTGCTTTGCTGAAAGTGGTACCCAGTCAGGGGGCAGTATGGGTTAAGGCCTATGCTTCTCCTGGCTTCTGTTTCTACCATTTCTTCCAACACAATGAGGATCATTTTCTTTTTTGCTCTGCTTGTTTTTTGTCAATTTGGCTCTGATAAAGTGAAACAAATAAAAACAAAAACAAAACAAACCTATGCCCTTCAATTTTAATATGCACAACTTCCTACCACATTTACACATGTCCAACCAAATGGAGGTTTAACCCTTCAACTCCCAAGATCTCATTAGTAATTCTCCTTACTATCTCCCATACAGTTCTAGTGATGTTAGTTTGGAGAATTTGGTATTGGATCAACTAATAATCCCCAAATTAATATTTTTCTATATTCTCATCACTTTTCTGCTCAATATTGTATTGATATTGTAAGGAGAAATTCTGTCTTGGTCACTGATGGGAGTGAAAGGGTTAACCATTCTCAAAACTGTTTTGAGCAAATTCTTTAAACAGTGCCCTCTACAAAATGAATATGATCTGTTTCCAATTATCAGTTAGTTTCCATGTTGCTGTGTGTCTGTTCAGTAATCAAAATGTGGTAAGAACAAAAAAGTGGCAAATGGGGAGCAGCCAAGTTTGTCACTGTTGTTCATACCACCTTTTGACGTCTTCTGTGATCTATTACTGTTCAGACACATGGCAACAGAAAAGTTGTTTCAAATGATAAAAAAAAAACAAAATGTTTAAGGCGATATCATCTATGCATCTGTCCTCCAACAGATCATAAATAAGAAACAATCAAAATGCATTTATAATTCACTTTATCATATAATACCTATCAGATGAATGAAAGCTATCAAAGAGTTAACTAAACAATTCTGAAAAATTTGTTGCATAAAGGAAATTCAAATTGGGTCAAGAGAAGGAGAGAAATTGTGCAAGCATCTTTTAACCAACAATGTAATTTTCAGAATTATATCAGAGGTACACTATAACTTTTGATAGCTCTATGGGAACCACTGGCTTCATGTCAACTGTAAGGAAAAGATTACCAGGATAACTCACATAAATAATATGTTATAGTCCAAAGGTACCATAACTAAATGCATTACAATGGTACTAGAATACTGAAAAAAGCTGACAATTTTGTGACCTTCCACTGACAGTGGTTGGTGTTGTTTATACTGTTTGGAAGCCACAAATATACAATTTTCTTAACAAATATAAAACCAAATGTCACATTATGGCAGGAATAGATACACCTTTGTGACAAGCAATCATGCCAGACTTAGTATCCTGGCCATATTATGTACAAATTTTTAACTACCATGATATAACTTAAAATAATTGCTGGTCCTTAGGAAATGTTCCCATATATTTGCAAATGATTGATAGCATAACTTCATCTGCTCCACCGCCAATTGACAAAAGACGGTTGTCTCTATAAGCGCGGCTGACTTCCACTTCTGAAGTAAAACCCATTCCTCCCCAGAACTGCAGGCAGGAGTCAGGTACCTCTCGTGCAAGGCGACCAGCCTTGAGTTTGAGCATTGAGGCTAGCTTGTTGACATCTTTACCTTTCATGTACAGATCTAAAGCATAGAAAAGTAAATTAGTCACCAACTTAGGATAACAATTTGTAATAACAGAGAGACCTAGAGTCCAAACATGGCACCCAAAGTGAAAAAAAGAAAAAACATTTCAATAAAAGAAACAAGGATAAAACAAAAAAAGAAACACACACACACACACACACACTTAATAAGCCTAATGAGAAGCACAAGTTCCTCTTTATGGTATGATAACATGTTTCTTATATAATCATTATTAAATTGAAAGAATTGGACCAAAGCATAGCTTTCTCTCCCTCTATGACAGTAGTAAAACTCTAACCAAAATTATTTAAAGCTGCCAAGAACCAACCTGTAGTTCTATATACAAGTGACCTGAGCAGTTCAACTTCAGTTTGAAGCTCAGCAAGGCGGAAGTGAACATACTGATTGTCTAGAATGGATTTGCCGAATGCCTTCCTTTCCCTGCAGTAGGTGGCAGTTTCAAAAATAATTCTCTCCATAGACAACAGAACTAAAACAAAAAATATATCACATAAATAACAAGAAAAGGTATCTATTATTTTGATAAAAACCCTCTGCTAAATTAAATAAAAGTTTTACTTAGTCAGTCCATTCACTTTTGTTCTTATATTTATCAAATCCTTTTCCCACGAAAGGGAAAATTTAGTGTTCATTAAAATAATAACTAAAAATAATTCTATCATTATGACTTTTATCATTATTATTTAACTGTAATATCATAATTTTTACCATTGTAATTATGAATGTGACTTGTTATTATTACTGACATAATTATAAATAAACTGTGGCCCTGCCTTGGCAAGGGGTAACTCAAGATAATTTGGTTTTATCAACTGAGTTGATAATGTAACCTTGTCTCTGTAAAGAGTTTCTAAAGGTAACCCCTAAGTTTCAGAAACTTGGAAAACCCAAACAAACCTACTCTACGGTTCACACTTCAGTATGTGATGAATATTATAGTGTTCCTGATCTTGAGCCTTAGACTCTCTCAAATGTGAGCAAGAATTCTTTCTAGACTGATAATAAGAGTTTCTTATGTTGTCTTTGTTTATTGGTCATCCTATAATACCTGAAGCCCCAGCAAAAACTCTTTCCTCAACAAACTGAAACATCTGGTATGGAAACCCCATTCCTTCCTGACCAATCAGGTATGATTGTGGTACTTTCACATCCTCAAAGAACAGCTCTGCAGTGTCTGATGAATGCATCCCAAGCTTGTTAATATTCCTTGCCTTATGGACTCCAGGTAGATTGAGAGGAACACAGATCAAAGACTTGTTTTTATGTGGTGGACCTCCACTTGTATTTGCTAAAAGACAAATCCAATCTGCCTGGAGACCATTTGTAATCCATAACTTGCTTCCATTTATGACAAAGTCATCTGTTACAAAAAAAATCATTTGAAGCCTTGTAGACACAGAAAGTTTAAATAAACTGTTGAAATACTAAATCAAACAAAGTATGGATACACCCATATCAGTTTTCCTTCTGGCCTTCCCTACAAGGGCATACCCTTGTAGATTGACAAATTTATACACCTGTATCTACATGCTGTGGCTATATAATTACATTCTATAAGTAAAAGGTGTTGCTTCTGTAGTTATCAACAGAAGTAAACTAAAATATAAAACACAATAAAGTATAATAACAATGCAAAACCTTGCTTGTTCCTCCAAAAAATGGAATTAGACAGGAAACTTACAACAGTATTCAGGCCAGTCTATTATACATAGTTCAATTGTAACCCCTCCTGGTCACCTTAACAAGATAAACAATTCCATAATATAGGATTCTTTGTCCCATTTTCAGCTTGCTGACTCAATCAAGATGTTTTGACTGTAAGCAGTCTGATAAATTAGCTGGATCAAAAATTAAGAGGTCTGGATTCAAGCCCTTGCTTGGTCATTGCATCATGTTCATAGGTAAGATACTTCACCATCACAACACAGTGTCTCTCCTCCAAGGGCATAAATGAGTAGTCATGGGAAACTAAACTATGAGCAGTCCTTTCCATCACACAAGCAAAAAAAAATTCAGAGAAAAAAAATTGATGTTAGCACATCACAGGGAGCTCTTGATGCACTGCAGGGGCTTTATGAATGAGGCTCTCAAAAAATAGGGACTACAGATTAAGCCCAAGAGTTTGACCTCCATGTTTGGCTCACAACAACAAAAATATAATTGGCGACTGGATGGATATGTGTCAACACTTCTCAACACTGCAGATTAATCATTGTCTGATGACCTGTAGGAATGTTTGTTGCCACTTCTGACAATTTGTTTGCTAAAACCAGGGCAGACAGAAGTGCTAGAAGCTCTTTTTGTTAGCAAAGAAGTTTTTCTCAATTTTGCTAACCAGCATTGGAAAGATAACCTTATCCACTGGATAAATCATTATCCCATGGATAGCACAATAGGTTATGTTAACACTCACCAGGTGGATAGTGATTTATCCTTTGGATAGCATTATCCATTCTTTGAACAACTGGGTCCAGGGGTTTTGTCCCACAAGACAATCATCAAGCCCTTAAGCATATCCTTGTAATTTTATTGCTTAATGGCATTGTGGTGGAACAAGCAGGCGAAGTCAATGAGCTTGGCCTTCCAGCCCTTCAGTTATCAGACAAGGACAAAGACTGCATGACTTCTTTTTCAGAAGACAAATTACAAGCAAACACATAGCAAAGGTTGTTTTGCAATGGTTCCATGGACTGACCTGCCCTTCAAAGGAGTTTTTTTCATAAGACTCATCTTTACTGAAACATTTCATGGATTTCCAGTTTATTGTGCAGCTCAAAATTTGAAATGGTTTAATTTTGTGAGATAACCCATGAATTGCGATGATATGAAGATTGAGTGCTAATTCAGATAAGGGATGTCTTTGATTATGTCTAATTGAGATTACATTTTGACACCTCACTATCATTAAGCCATGCATGGTCAAACTCTTGAGTTGAGTCTGTAGTTCCTACTTTATGAGCTCCCCACTCACTAAGCTCCCTTGGTGCATCAACATCACTCCAAGAGCTCCCTGCAGCTGGCTAACATCAATTTTTCTGCAATTATGTTTTTGACTATAGGGCAATGGACAACCATTCCAACAAGAAAGAGTTGCACTCCTAAATGTCAATCCTAATTTTGAAGCCTAATTCCTTTCAATGACAAACCTCCTTTTTTAATAGCTGTAGTTTTAATACTTGCAACATCTGATCCAGCCCCAGGTTCACTCACTCCAAGACAGGCCACAACATCACCAGCAATGGATGGAACTAAAAACTCTTGTTTAAGCTCTTCACTACCAAACCTGATAAGTGCTGGAGTTGCCATGTCTGCCTGAACTCCTATGGCCATGGGTATAGCACCACATTTAATGCTTCCTGTTGAGAAAGTAAACCTCTACACTTCCATGTTTTTAGTGCTTGTTCTCCTTACTGTTTCCCATAATTAAAATAGTTGTAGTTGTTAACAAAATCAAGGTTTTGGACACTTCAATTTAACATACACTCTCCCATTGGCTTGACATACATCACTTTTTTTTCTCACTTAAGCAAAGCACTGCATTTTTCAAAAAGTTTTATCAGTTTGTTCGATAACAGGGTACAGACTTCAGACAATTCGATAGAGACTACTTCAAGAATTTTAAGGAGTCAGTCTGCTTACTTCACTCTTATGACAGGTTTGGAATTGTTTAAATATTCATCACAGCACTAACATTAGAGGAATAGTACTCTGGGCAGGGCTCTCTGATTACAATAAAATATAGTTTCTCATAGTGATCTGTGGATTAGCAGGCTCCACACCATGTTAAATATCCCAGGCAAATCTTAAAGAGAGCACCAAGAACCAAAGGGAGCTCTAGAGGAATACTTTAGGCCCTTACTTCCTTTGCCAATGGGAGCTCTAGAGAAATACTTTAGGCCCTTGCCTCCTTGCCCCCCCCCCTCAAAAATGTCTAGCTACAGCCTTGAATTAAGTCAAGAGTTTTGTATAAATACATGAGGGTTGCTTCAAAACTATCTCTGTTTCAAACCACATGCATGTATAACTTCCCCTGTTGAATGTCCAGGCTCCGAGGCTGATGGGAAATAAAGAATCATTGGCTGGAGGATAATTATCAGATACACCACAACATTTTCATCAGCAACCAAAACTGAGATATGCTCACTTGCTGTTGAGAAGACACTAGATCAGAGACCAAACAGTGGAAAGGTAAAAAAAATTGCTGACCTAACTCTTCAGCCATGGCCACACTAAAAGAATAGTCCAATCCTAATCCACCATACTTAGTGGGCTTGTTTACTCCAAAGAATCCGGCCGATCCCAGCTTTTTAAAAACTTCATGAGCGGGAAACCTCTTCAAATTCTCCCATTCGTCAACGTAGGGGTTTATTTCTTTCTCGATTAATTTTTTGAGAGATTTTCGGAGTTCTGCATGATCCTCCGTAAAAATAGATTCGTGGCTTACTTCGTACGATTCTTTTCGTAAATTTGGCGCTGCTCTACAATACGTGCTTGTTGAAAACAATTTAAAAAGCGAACGAAATTGTGTGCATTTCGTCATCGAAACCCTCGCAGAAACAGCCATGTTGGTTACTCATTCCGTTTAGCAATGGATGCTGCGGAGCCTTGGGAACGAGTCTGGAATATGACAGCAAAAGTCACGAGATTTATCAAGTAAGATTACTTACGCAAGGCAAAGAATTTCACAACAATGGTTTTCCAGGAGGGATGTCACTTCCTCAGTGAATATCTTTTGAGTAAACGCCTTAATCGATATTGTGATTTTTAATTAAAAAAGATGGAAAATGGATACATCACCGCTGGATTTGCTTGGAGGCCGGGATCTCAAATAGATGTGAAACGCGTAGAGCTTCTGATCTGCAGAGCGGAGGACATATATCAGGACCACTTTGATAACGACGATGTTACCGTGGAAAACTTAAAATATTCAACTTATAACCTGGAGCAGTGGAATTCAGAGGGCGGGAGCTTTTGTGTCTGTCCAGCTCTTAAACCTGGCGTGTATCATTTCGTTTTTCGCATAGACAATGGGGAACAGAGAGAATTGACAATTTCTGATTATTACGACAGAACTTTTCTTGGTAATGGTCGTGCTGTTAATTACATCGAAGTTTTGGCTAATAACAAGAAAAATTTAACACGTGGTAAGTATGGATTAAATACATCATATACCAGCAAGGGCCTTGTTCTAGCTTTAAAGTTTATAGTATGAAGTATGTGCACGGTCTGTTGATCAACCTTGGGTATCACTAGGTGTCAAATATTCAGCTGTATCAATTTACTTCCTCAGTCACTGGAGACCGGACAGCCCTTGAGCAGTATACTATAATAGAAGGGTTTATTAAAAGTATTCAAAAATAGCACCCCAGTGGTGAAATACATGTGAATTTACAAGTATACTTTACGAAAATCTTACATTTGACTTTAAAATTAAGAGTCTAAGGGGACTGGGAATTACAAGAGTCAGTAGTTATATACCAATGAAAAACGCTTAGGTTTGCTTGACTACAAGAACTGGGCGTTAGATGCCATTGTTGGAAAGAAAGATTTTTTAAATCTTTCGGTCCGGCATTTAAAGAGTGATACATGGTTTTTGTTGCACAACTCATAAACGTGGCAATCGGCGCGCTTTGGTGGAATAAGGTGGTACAGCCGTGACCCAGGCACACAGATACCGTCCCAAACTTTCTTGCAGAGTTCGTCTCTTCTCACATTTAAGCGAGTGGAGTTTGCAGCCACAATGGCGTCTTTGTAGCTCAGCGCCGGAAATAATATACGCAGAGCTCTTTTCTGAACTCTTTCGATCATGTCCTTGAGGTAAATTGGTAGGCTAGTAGACCAAGTGACGCAGGCGTATTCGAGGACCGATCGTACCAAGGCATAAAATATGTTAATAAGGTCTTCGGGTGGAATTCCGGACCGCTTGAGCACTCTTAAGATGTAAAGACGTTTTGAGGCTTTGGAGACAATCTCACGCACGTGCTCTATAATTAATTGTTTACAAATATTACTCTTCGAAGTGTCTTGCAAATCATCTTCTGGTTGGATGGGTCAGCTTCAACCGAGACAAGTCGCCCACATTGAGTCGAATCAATTCAAATCAACAACATTTTGAACCCTTGCGGAATATATGTTTTGGTTCAATTTTGTCCTTGGTTCAAATTTTATTTTCTTTTGTTTTCGGGTATTGTAATGTATGATAATGAACCACAACATATATTCCAAGGGTGATAGGTCAAGTTGCCCAAGAGTCATCTTGCCTGAAACTTGAGTCAGGTTGCCTGAAATTTTAGTCATGTCACCTGAAAAAAAGAGTCAAGTCACCCAAAGACACAAATACTAAAAACATCAGAATTTCAGAGTATGTTTGAGTAACGATTCTATTGGTATGTACTCATTTCTTACTCACCGACATTTTGTAGGCTCGAGAAACTCTTTCTTGGTTCTTAACAAATATGTTTCAGCAATGATTCTAAAAGCATTGTTCATTTCTAACAAGAAAGGGAAGCATTGTTCATGTCTAACAACAAAACAAAGCATTGACCCTTTACCAACTTTTCAAACAGGACAATCAACATTTGTTTACCAGGTTTTTTCATCTGTTATTGCTAAGAAAGTCACAAATAGACGCAATAGAACTTTACTTTTATGTTACACTGCATCCATACATTTATTGTTGTAGAAATGAACAACACTTCCCTTCATAGTATTGTTAGAAACCAAGATAAAGTTTCTCAAGCTTACGAAATGTCCGTGAGTAAGAAAGATTATATACCAAATGAACAACGCTTCATTTTGTTAGAAATGAACAAAGTTTCCCTTTGTTGAAGGGAATGAACAACGTTCTTAGAATCTTCCTGGTGTTGTCGGAAACAAAGAGTGCTTTAGTGATAAAAATTTCTCAACTTTATTGCCTATTCACAGTCTGAAATTCTAATGTTTTTAGTACTTGTTTCTTCGGGTGACTTGACTCTTTTTTTTAGGCGACATAACTAAAATTTCGGGCAACATGACTTGGGTTTCGGGCGACATGACTTCAGGTGAGAGGACTCTTAGGTGACTTGACTGTAAACCATTCCAAGTATCCTGCAAATCTACGTATTTGATGACTCTGCCTCAACTAGGATAAGCCGTTCAATTCAAAGCAAATTGTCAACACTTTCAAACCAGTCTTGTAGCAGGTAGAGAATTATTTTTTAGGTGTCTTGAAAATCGACCTCTTGTATGAAATTTCCACCTTAAGAAGGATACTTTATTCAGATTTCCAGTATTAAGAGAGGACTTCACCACAAATTGACTAGCTGTAGGTCAATTCATAAACTGCCCTAGGAAAAGAATTTTTCCATGCTAAGTATATTTATAGTAAGGTCCATTTCTTATTGTGAATAGCAATATTACCTGTGTTGAATAAGTTTTCTTAAGAAGGTGTCCATTTTGGAAGCGCACCAACCAAGTGTAAGGCTTGGAACCAAAAATGCAGGGTCTGGGAGTTGTGAGACAGACCCAAATAATATTTCCCTCAGAAACATTTATATTTTTATTCCATCCTATTTACCTTTATGACAACCTAATGTTTATATTGTTGAAATGTTAAATTCTTAGAAATTGTAGTACTGAATTTAATAAAAATCTTTTGTTTTCTATTGTATGAAGATGGGCAAATACACCTAAGTAGTGTTCAGTTCACTCAATCACAAGTTTGTTCAAATTTGCACATCCTTTCAATAATTTTTTTAGCAAAGTCTGCTTGTTGTTAAATGCTTCCCATAAGTTTGATAGATGTGTTTAGTATTGCTTAGCTGGGTTACTAGAACCAGGTTATGGTGATTTTGAACAGTGAGTAGTTTTTATCTAACCCTATGACTAGTAGGAGGGTTTGATCTATTAAGCTTTCCCAAAGGTGATTTAAGTGAGTGATAAACAATGAGTGGTAGGATATTTGCAACTGAGTTAAAACTTTGATAATTTCCAGTAGTAGCAGACTTATGGTTTTGATGTATCATTTTGACAGCACATGGGAACTCAGTCAATGTGAATTCAGTCAGTGATGAGAAACACCAGTCCACTAAGATGAGTAACAGCAAAGACTCACACTGCGAGCAAGACCAAAGCAACAGATCATGTGTTTTGTTATGACAAACATTTATAGATCATGAAAAACAATTAATTTATACAGTACTAACAGGATGGGTGGTCAACTCTATTATCCTATCAAGCAACACTGCAAGTAGTAGTACTTTTACCTCTTTTACAAAATAGGTGACAGGTAAGTGCAAAAATGATATTTTTAAAACCGTTTAATTATATTTTTTGTGTCAGAAAAAAATAGAATTACATAGTAGTAACTTGTCAAGATGAACACAATGAATTACATGAAAAAAAAGCTTTTGTAGCTCAATCAACAAACATTTTTACCTGTCCAACCTATGGTTGTTTGAATCATATATAAATATGTAAGTAATAAAGTAACTCCATGTTACGAATTGATGTCAATACAACTTGGCAGGATTGTCATACTTTGTTAGTAATCAATTCTGCAATGGTCAATTTACTTAACCTTTTTAACCTGTATTGCAATATGCACTGCATTTTGGTAAAGAAAACATTAAATTATAGTGTTGCAATTAATGTGTTGGCAGTTTTCTATTATTTGTATTACTGTAATTCCAGTGTAATTTAATATTATTTGTTAGTACTGTGAGCCAAATCCTTTTATCTTTTATAACAATTATTAAAGGAATAAATGGTTTGAGGCTTATTTTCCATCATACCATATGACTTTTTCTATTCAAATTTTACACTCTCTCTTGGTGTCAAGTTCCTTTCAAAAAGTTTTTAAGGTGAGCAATAAAATTTTTCTGCAAATGACAGTTAAAAAAGTTTATTTTTAAGCCTCAACTTCATGCACTAGAGCCAGTTTTCCTGCCTTCTATCCAGATATATTGATTATGGGCTGTTAACAAAAGATTCAACAGTCATTTATTTGCTACACAACTCCAGAATATTTTAAGAATACATTTATATTTTTTTAACATTTTAGTACCCCTGTACTTATTTTGTAAAATAAAAATACATGTTAAGTAAAAATACATGTTACAATGTTACAGTAATTACTATTTTTTGTTAGGTGTAAGGTTCCTGAATCCAATTTCTTGAAAGTCAAGGTAACTTAGCAGGCCTGAAGCCATATATTAGAATCAAATTTAAAGAATCAAGGAGCAGGTTCTGGCATCCAAATCAATCCATTTTGTTACTTAAGCTGAAAGTTTTATGTTATATTTCCAAACAATTTTAAACCCCTGTCTTGAATGAAAACAGAACAGCTTTACAGGCCTTTAAGTTTCCAGGACCTTCAAGAAATGGGCCTTGGCTTAAATAATCTGATTAAAGAATTTAAAAGTAAATGAAGTGTGGTGTGTGGTTTGGTTTGAACTCAAATCTAACAATTAACTCTGTTGTCTATCTAGTTAGAAACTTGTGTTGATCAAAAGGAAGTGGTGCCTATTGAAGAATGACTCATATCAAGGCCAATGAAAATCTCTACCAACAACCTTATACAGAGCATGATTGTATGGCCTGTAGAATTGTTGAAATAATTTTACAGTCTCGTTTCTAAAAATGACATGTCTTTTTCCTTTTGATCCCTCTAAAGACTCTAAACAGTCTCCCCACTTTTTGCCATCTGATTGAATTTTTTCCTTACAGCAAGGGAATCCTTTAGATCCGTGGAAATAGAAGTTCTTTTCAGAATCCTTTAGATCCGTTGAAATGGAAGTTCTTTTCAGTGATAAATGGCCCTAGATATAACAACTTCTTAACAGGTTTTATCTCATCAGCTGTATTTTGGAAAAGACCTTCTCCACTGACAAAGTGAATCCATGAAAATGGAAAATACATTAACCATTGATGTAAGTGGTTGATATAAACCTCATTTTTCACTATACCTCTTTCAGTGGCCAAAACACTTACCTCCTTTGTGACAAATTCCTCGAATTTTGGAAGGAAAGAGTTGTTTTTGTTCAATAAAAGTTGTGTATAATCTGAGATAGCTCTTACCATGGGATCTCGCACAATCACTTAGAGCTTAACATCTCTTGACCACTTGTACACACTCCTAGGAACAGTCTGAGGTGAAGTAGCCAGGAGATTTTCAGGTAACTGATCTTCCCTTGACTCGGGCATGTGACTCCTGTACCACTCAAGGCCTTGTTTGTAGTTTTCATCACGGTTGAAAAAGTGTACCTCCCACGGGCATGCTCTGATATCAGGATTTATTTTTTTTTTTTTAGAGGGCACGGTAACGAATCCTGCAATGTGATCGGTTCTTTACCCGATCAGTATTTTCCAATCCCTGCCCACGGATAACGGTAACGCTTTCGTGAGTCGCAGAGTGCATACCTTCTTTCGTTGCCAATTTTCATGAGTATATCTCGTTTTTCCGTCTGGGCAGTATTTTTAAGCAAAGATATAGGTCACTACCTCAAGCCGGTAACTAACTTATTAATCCTCTTCTCTCTCAAATCACTTTGGTCGACAGAAAAATATCGGTGTCAGAATGAATTTGTATAAGCAATAGTGTCAATACGTTGGTTGACAAGCGGCCTAAAAACCGTCTGCAATTAATTTTAATCGTTCACAAAAAGTAACTAGAAAGTTAAAACGTGGGGTAATTTTTAGGAGGAAAGACCAGATTTACACACGCCATTGCAGCAAACAAACGAGCAAACTCTCCCAACTTTAAGATAAAAAATTTGAATTTACTTTCAATTACTTTCCTCGCTGTTTACTTAATGAACAGAGGTAAATCTTCGTACATGAATTAATCATCGATGAGAGTGAATAATACTTTCCGTAAGATCATTGACTGTTTTTGAGGAAAACATTGTCGTGACAGTGCTTGCCAAACTGGTTTCATTGTGTTTCAAAAGTTTACACGCGCTTTTTCTTTTGTTACGCGCTCTCTAATTGACAGGTGTCAGATTATGACAGATACTTGTAAGAATAATGTTTCAAAGTTTGTTTGAAAGCCTTTTAAATCACCTTTATCATTACGCAAATAAAAATGTTTCGGTGAAGCATCTCTCTTTAATTTGCATCACCTCTATTTTAACTACCATTTACTCGCTCAAAAATTGTTCAGTTTATGGAAGGTCACAGTTTTTCACCATACGAACCTCCCAGCCGGCAAATAACATATATCTATTGCATATGGCTATGAACCTTTTCTCCTCTAACATGTAAGGTATATGAATAAGTAGATTGGAAAGACGTTAATGACGAGCACAGGATTTCCCTGATCTATTGACTAACACAAGATTTGTATTTCAATTGTGGGTGTTCCACTGCACCTGTTGAATTTTTCTTACCGCTGTAGGCACGTTTAGTTTCATCTCCTATCACGTACTAAGACTGAGCTATGCAATCAACCACAAGCTTCCCTCGGCAATGCAGTCGAATTCTAATGATTACTTACTGACTGTTACTGGTTTGTTTTATTAGCGAGTAAAATTTTCCCACAAATATCGCTTTTCGAATTTTGAGTTCACATTACATACAAGTTTGCCCATCATATCAGATCATACTGGTACTGAGTGTCCAACATGTGCCATGAAATGCTGAAAATCAAAAGAGTCGAGAATTCACTCGATAGTAAAAGTCTTCTCGTTAACTTTTAAAATATTTTTGCTTGTTGTGAAATGACCCTTGGAATTTTTTTGAAATGTCTTACATTTACTAGCAAAAAATACTACTGTGGGACTTCAGGAGAGGTCAGAACTCAGGGATTTAAACACAAAATTACCTGGAAAGACTTTCATAAGAACAAAATTAGTGCTGACCTCAATTTAAATGGATATAATTTTCTAAATGTCGGTAAAGTCAGAGTCAGTCGTATGTTGTGCCATGATGATAACTTTTAATTTAGAGAGAGCATCGCAAGCAGAATTTAATTTTCATGGAAAATGTCGTAAATAACGTATCATGTAGCGGCCGACACAAGTGAAGGAAATTTCAACGACAACTATGAGTTTCGCTAGTGAAGACGCACTATGAGGCGAGGATATATTGTACGGAAAAGACTTGAATCGTTTTATTAACGTAGTCGAGGTATCCAAGTACTTATCGTAAATTGAAATATGAAATTATAAGGAAGAAGCTAAGCTAAATTCTAAGATACGGAGCAACATTCCAATCATTCCGATATGAAAGTAAGATCCCAAAAGACTAGCTAAAACTCTTAAAACAAACTCACAAAAGACTATCTTCAAGGATAAAGGAGAACTGCGTGAAAACGAATTCTAACAAAACTAATTTCCGAGTGGGAAAAACGAGCAGCTTACTAACAAAGCATGAACAACGTAAACCACGTGTTACAAGGTTGCAAAGAAACTGGTATAAAAAACTGGGCGAAACTACCCGGCGAAAGACTAGATGTTTAAACAAGTACGAAGAGAGGGAACATAAGCACTTACATAACAGTCCCGCCTGTAAAAGTTTGACCAAAACAAACTTCGAGATAAGGTGGGCAAAAGGGCGCTTTTCGATAAACACGTCTTATCGTTAGCCCAACGCAAGATAACTAACTAAAAAGCGGTTCTGGGTGGAACTTAAAGATCACGTCCCTAATGGACAAACAGTAACGTCACTATTGCAGTTTAACACGTTTAACACGAAACAAACTTATAACAAATCAATGTCCGGTAGCAAAGGCGTGGCAGCCGTTACATATCACAAGTGCGTAAATAATTAGTTTGTTTAACTTATCTGCCGTAATTAGTGAGTGAGTGGGCGATTGCGAATACGCTTATTTTTTTGTAGCGATAAAGCGAATTTAGATAGAGTATAGAAAGTAGAATTCCAGTGTATGTAAAGTGGTGTAAATACTAATGTATTATAGTGATTTGCGTGCCGTAAGAAGTGAGTGGGTTGGCAATTTCTAATATAAGTATTTTTTATAGGTTGAGAGCTTAACAATCATGATTCCATTGTATGTAAAAAGGTTTAAGTAATGTATGAGAACCATTTAGTAAGTAATGTAATCGGTTGATATAACTTACAAATTAGAACTTACTCTTTGAAACTAAGAGGACACCTTAACCATACACTCAAGAGAATCTCATCACTACGATAGTAATGTGTATGTTGGTCTATGCTGTAAGAATTTGTTTTTGTCAGTTTCCGTGATGTACCTAATGCATTCTATTCGGTAACTAGGTAATTTAATACTAATCCCCTAATCCCCTTTATTCTGTAACTACCTTTGCCACTTAAATCATTGTACTGTGCTGGCGGATATTAATAAACAATGTCGCAGAGTTATGTTAGTCGTAGTATTCTTACACATGCATTATCTCGCTTCCCGAAATAAAGACTCCAGCGGACTCTTAACCCAATCCCTAAACAAAAAAGAGTATTTAGAACATTTGACCAACAATCGGTTCGACGACTGTGGCGCGAATCGAAATTAAAAGAGGAGAAACGCGGTAGAGGAACAGAAGGATTTGAGGTCTCTTTGACCAAAGACCAGTTCTTTCCCTTTTTCCTCACTCCTTCACTTCTTAATGATTGAATTGACTCATCACCTGGAAAATAATATTATGCAAGTTCACATTTTAAGATAACCCTCGACTGCTACTAATTTTTAAATAGTAAGGGACAGATGACAAGCTAGACCAGTTAGCCTTTCGGAGGTTATTCTCGATGATACCTTAAAGTTAATGTTAAAAACAAATACATAAACAAACTCATGAGTCCATAATGTAGACCAGGAATACAACACTTACTTCAGACTGGTTACAAAACGCAGGCCAGCTGAAAACAAAAACAGTTCTCTTATCTAGATATACCTTAATTTAAATAGGTTTTAAAGGTTCTTATTGTATTATCAAAAGTACCCCAGCCTTTGCCCACAACAGTGACATTTGATAAGAGCATCTTTACGGAAATAGATGTAGCAAAAAGTTTAAACCGAGTTTGGCTTTGCGTTTTGTGGTTCCCTGGGCTCAAAATATCTCTGTATTCATCACCTCTTTTATCCTGGCCTTAACGGATAAACAGCGGGAGCAGTTATCACGAGACGGCTGCGTAACCCTCGCCACACTTTGACTGACCCCCGCATTTTCGCACGTTTTATTAACCGAAATTGGCGCAGACTACTTTGTCAATTTAGATTACCTGTGTTGTGCAATGTGCATGGCCACGCCTCCACGTAGAAATTCAATATTTTTCCCCTCGTTTGTTTCCGTTTACAGATTTCTATTCACTTTTCAATTACCTTTCGCGTATTTGGCAAGACAGCGCTTGTCTCTTACGTTCTCCTTTGTAATAAAATGTAAACAAAAATTTCAGTTTGCTGATCGGCTGGGAACACGTCAATTAATCTCAAGCATGCAGAAAGATAGGATTA